AAAGCTGTTCTCGCGGGGTATCAGTTGGGTAATAGGTATATTATAATCATAGATAATAAATAGTAATGGACAAGATATTATATATTGAGGACATTACAGTTTTGCAGTCCAATATGATTGGAAATTGAAGCCGTTTGTTTATATTATAACCACTATGACAAAGAAATTTACCTATAAGAAGTATACAGCCTCAATTTCATTATTACGTTTTCACTGATAAGCCATCATGTCCTATCCATTATTTTATTATCTCTGATTATAATATAATGCTACGTGTGATCTTTTTTTAATCTTAACACCTCGTGCCATGTCTATATCTTTGGTTGATTTTAGCCTCACCATAACAGTACAATAACATGTCCAGCTGCTGAATTATTGTGCTGTTAGTGATTTTTATCATCTGTAATCTTCAATATCTTGTTCTAGTTCGGCAGTGTAATTTAGAACTTAGAACTTGGACATTGAAAATGTAAATTTATTAATTAATCAAATTATCATACAATGTATTTCACTGTAACATTAATTAGTTAGTTAAATATTTTGGTTTTTCTTTCTCCAGATTTCGGTCTTCGGTAGTATATAAAAAAATAAATCAATCAATATGACTCTCAGTATAATGACCTTTCCATATTAGCATTCCTTTGAGGGTTCTGTATTCATCTAATTGTCGTTCATAACGTACAGTATATAGTTAATCGAAAATCGCTTCGAAATTGTTTTCATTTGATAGATTTATGTGCTTTTAGATTCTGAGTATAGTAATGAATTTATAACTTTAAAATATAAATTAGTTAAATTAGTTTTATTATGATTTTTTCAATGTAAACACTTTTTCTGTTAATATAAAAGATCCGATTTCCCATATCGTATCTAACTTAAAAGATACGAAATTTCCAACCAATGGTACTTTATTTAAAAAAATAGTCCAGCTAACTAGCTGACAGCAAAAGATTATAGGTTATATATAAGTGATATATAGGTTTGATTTTTGTCGATGTCTAGGTTACCTTGAGCTTTAAGTGAAAAAAAAAACATGATTAATAATTAAATTGAATTGAACTTATATTATTATCAGATAAACACAATACATAATATAATGTATAAAATATATGATAAAATAATTACCACCACTCTAAGGTTAACTTGTGTTGGGAATAATAATGCTTATACTATTCGATTCAGAATCATTTTTTGATTGTCAATGATTTATCGTCGCATTCAGTTATCCTTCTGTATTCCTATACCTTTAAAAATTCTCACCTACTACAATACCCTATGGCATCCTCATATGGCCTTTATAAATATAGTGTTTTATTTCTTTTCTTGCACGTGGGGAAAATAAAAAATTAAAACAAACGTATAAATTAATATCGTATGGTTTAAATTTTATATTATATTATATTATATTTATATATGTGTGATGTAACTAATATTATTTTGTTTTGTGAATCCATCGCTATCCAACTAAACCATTATAATTTGTAATATTAAACAAATATTTTGTTTAAAATTGATAAATCATTTTTTTGTAGTAATTATTAACGATGTCGTAGTTTGAAATTGAAAATCGCGTTTTGAATCGTTGTGCAAAAAAAAAACAGAATACCTACTTTAATTTGAACATCATCATACCTCTAATGGACTTAAGTGTAATTTATGGAACGAAATGGTTTGATTGAAGTCAATGATGACATTATATAATATTTTGATGATGAGACCGAAACCCTTGTATTATACGAAGTATACGCGTATATACCATTTGACTAATAACAACGTGAAGCCAATTTAGATCAATTTGTGACCATAAGCTACGAGTATATTATAATAAATGTTGTCTAAATATAAATTAATTTAAATTTTTTTATATAGAACAGATCCATCAGCGACTGCAGCGTGTTTTATAGTAATTAAATCACTTCCTAAATATGCAGTTAAATTATGCATCCATAGTAGTATATAACTGGTGATTATTATGACGTATAAAACAATCAAATATTATTATTATTGTTATTATTAACGATTTCTAAAAAGAAATATTAAATGTTTATCGTATTATTTTTATTACTGTAATACTACAGTTTTCGTTAATTGGTAATAGTAATACCATATTGAACATATTTCGTTTTAATAGAATTCGTCTACTTCAAATGGCAAACGCCAATATGCTATTATAATATTATATCCGGTAGCAGAGCTTGTACTAACGTTCTAAATGAAATATTATTGAATTCTTAAAAAATAATATGAATAATAATTCATATTATTTTCAGTTATTAAAAGAAACAATTCTAAAATGTATCAAAATATTTAAATAGTTTCCCAAAGCTCCGAATGCAAACAGTCAATTTGAATGTAGCGATATAATAATGACAAAGTCATCATATAAACAAAATGAAGAGGTCCTCCGAAATCCTTTCAAACTAGAGAAATTTTAGGAAAATGTAGTTATGGATTTGAAACAGAATGTGGATTGTGGAGTTCTACAATTTTCTCAAGTTAAAAAAAAATAGTGCCTTAGTAGAATCTTAACGCAGGATCTGTTAGGGGATGATCAAAATCCAAGTATAGTTGAGTATTTAATATTATTTTTATTCATAATTTACTAGGTACCATTAGTACATTTTAATGTTTTTTTCTTTATTGATATAATTAATATACAAGTATAATGTCGTTTGATTCGATTTTTGCTGCTAGTTCAACGGTTCGAATTATGTAACATTATAGTATACGAGAATATCAGCAGTGGTACACGAATTGACTTGGAACCATAATATATCTGTATTCTATTGCATAACATTTTTTATGTTTATGAGTTTTTACGTCACATACAAAACCAAACACAAACATTAAAAGTTGATCGTCTATTTATATAAGTTATGTGACCCGGGTATGATTAACCAAAAGGTTGAAAAAACTGCAACCTAGGGTGCTGATAAATGGGGGGGGGAGAGGGGACACAAAAAACAATTATTTTTAAAAATCGATTTTTTTCAAACTTGTATCTCTATATATCAGGGACCATATGTGTAGCTAAACCTTTTTTGGAGGGTATGCAAGGATTTATAGGGAAAATACCAGTGTTCAGCCTACTGGTGACAAATTCATTAATTCGGCTCTGTGTGTGACTAATTTGTACCTGATTTGTGACACCTTGTCATCAACTAGATCAGTGTTTCCCAAAGTGGGCGATATCGCCCCCCTGGGGGCACTAGAGCTATCCACTTTTGAAGTGGGCGGTAAAGATAAAACGTTTGGAAACCACTTAACTAGATCGAAATTACTACAATATAGTTCATATAAAGTTTTCGATTGGAGCAATATTTCTGGGCGAAAAGTTGACTAACAAAAATAAACACACACATTATATCTAGTAAAACTTATACATTTCTCGCTTTTCTTTAAATTTAAAATATTATTTATTTTGTGTATACTGCAGCATTTTTGTGTCATCTGGAATGTTTTCAACTGTTCGGAATTTCGGATAATAATAATACGTCATGATCTTCACTTATCCGTCTTCCATATTCAACGTACACAACTATAATATTCTGCACATTCGTCGTAATATTACTATGTTTGACACTCACGAGACAGCTCATTTTATTTTTATAACCATTTGATTAAGTATCTACAACACAAAATTACAAAAAATAATACGTATTTATAACGGGGCCCAAGAATCGCGTATTTGTCCTCGAATCCTCCAAGAAAAATATTGCTCGCGTTGTTGTGCAGTATTTCCGCTCGAACTGAATTCAATATTTACGTTATAAAATTCTTTTTAAACTTTAAAAAACATTTCCCGTTCTTGTTTTGCAATTATAACACAAAACTCGTCACGATTTTCACCACACGCGACTACGAAAACTGCACACGAATAATCGAATATTCAATCATATTTTACCAATTGACGGGTAGGTAGATTGCAATATATTATACTGGTACTGCAGTTTTGGTTCCAACTTTTACTGGCGAATCATCGTTTCATTACAAAACTAAAAATACCGCAGAGGCGGTTTCGGCAATAATAACCTACCTGCAATAATTGGTCGGGTAAAATTGAATTTTCAAATGGGTTTAAAACGTCGCAATATTGTAACATTACTTTGTCTATGGCATTTTGCTGTCGATCAATGTTATCGGGATCGGCGGCGTGCGCAAGGGGGAGATTAGAGTTATATCTTACCCCCTGCCCCCCTATTGGCTTTAAAATGAAACAACTACGAGTATTTATTTAGTAATTTATTCACGAAACGCATACTTATATTTCAACCGAGTTGAACAAAAAAAAAAAAAAAAACTTTCGACTTATCGATTGAAAATCGGCTTTTTCGGATCTGGTGTTTTGGGCGCGTCGATCGGGACTATACTTGGCTCGAATACGGACCAGATGTGCCGGACCGGGCGCTTTGACGCGGGGATCGTTTTCGGCGGAATAAAAAAATACCCCGAACGTCACGGTGCACGTGTCGTCGAGAGACGTACACGGACGAACGCCACGTGGCCGGCGATTTCCGCGCGGAAAATCGATTCGGGGTCCCGCGGTCCGACGACGCCGCCGCCGCCGCCGTCCGCGCGACAAACTCGCGGCGATTTTCCCGAACCGACGGCGAGACGGCCGCGGGGAGCAGCACTATTGCGTATCAGCAAACACACTAGCACACGCACCGCACGACATTTTTTCACTATAATGATACACTCGATATTATAACATTACGGATAATATAATAATATAATATTATATTGTATTTTATTATTGTTGTATACCCACCGGCACTACCGTCGTCGTCGTTGTCGTATACACAAGCGCGCACACACACGCGCGCGCACGCACATACACACACACACACACACACACACACGCGCGCGCACACACAGTACTTAACAGACAGACACACGGGCTAAGGTCTAAAGTGCGTGAAACCGCCGCCGCCGCCGCCACTGCTGCCGCCGTTTCTATTTCCAGCGCCGGTTGGGTTATAATATCGGACGCGCGTGTGAATCGTTTCGCATTCGAACGCTTAGGTACCGGGCCGGCACACGTCCGTTCGCACCGTCCCCGCGACGTATCCGCACGGTATCGTTATTGTCGTTACGTTTTTATTAAAATTTGTTCGCGCCAACCAGATATTCGTCCGTCTCTCGCGACTTTGTTACGTTTTTATTTTTTCCCATATCGCAGGGACCGAAATATTACCAGCACAACAACAATAATAGCAATAATATTACCGGCAAACTTGCCTGAAAATATACAATAATATTTTCCGAAATATAATATACCGTTGAAATTCCCGTCGGGTTTATTATTATTCACGTTTTCCGTACACACAATTTAGTCCGCGATAAGGTGTATAATAATAATAATAATAATAATAACAATAATAATAATATTGTTTATCGTTATTATTCCGTCGACTACGTTCGCACAAGCCAGCCCGGTTCGGTTCAGTTCAGGTAACAACATACACATAATAATAATGATAATATTATTAATAATAATTCGCGTATTTATTTTCGTCGCTACAACAATAATAATAATATTAACACAATCGCAGTAGTTAAATATTAATATTATTGTTGTTGGATTGCGAGCCGCCGTCCTGCGAGCGTTAGCGGCGAAAAAAAAAAAAAAGCGATTGTCATAACTCATAATATTATTATAATATTATTGCAGTAGGGTACGGTGCCTAGCGTATCTGTTCGCGCGCGCGAATGTGTGTGTGTGTGTGTGTGTGTGTGTGAAACTACGTCCACGTGGGTTCCCATTCAACGCGTCAATACTCTCGTTCGTTACGATAATTTATAACTGCGCAGTGGCGTACCTAGGGTTCTCTTACGGGTGATAGGGGGGCGGGCGAAATATATTTTCACCGTTCTCAGAGTAGACAATTTCTGAGAAATTCAAAAAATATAACAATGCGCGTATATTGTCACGTATAATTACGCGTATAATTATACGACCCACGGGGGGGAGAGGCCCCCCCATACAGGTACGTCGTACCTGTGACTACGGCATTCCGGTAATAATGTTCTGCAGAGTCGCGTATGTTTTTCCGTTTGTTTTTTACCGACCGGAAACCGTTTTCCGTTTTCTCGCGCCAATGTGTTCCGATACCGCGCGGTGACGTATCGGCTGCGGGATTTGACGATTATTTTAACGATTTGTCGACCACATTACAATTGCAATACACTGTACACTAACGACATTGTCAAATCCTGCAGATACACCTTGTGCCCGTATTATTATTATGACATAATATTGTACCGTTTTAGTCGTGCGGTTACGCGGTCGATTGTCGATACAGGCACGGATCTAGAGAAAAGATTTAGGGGATGCCCGACTAGTTTTTACAACACAAATACAATTAAAATATAAAATTATATTTTATCATGCGTATCAGTGATTGGAATATAGTAATATCAGGATCTATAGAAGTATGAAAAAAAAAAAAAAAATCGGAGAAATAAAATGTCAGGGGGGCCTAGGGACTGGGCCTCCCTGTATCCGTCCCTGAGTCGATAGCACAGTATGTTACGGCGAATCGATCGTATTCGGATTCATTTCGATCGATTCACGGTTACGTTTACGGTTTAAAATTTACAAACTTCTTTCGTTTTTATTTCCTATTTTTTTTTTTAAGCAATCGTTTTTTTAGAATCGAAATTGAATCACTTTAAGTATGTGAATATTTCCTAGGCTCATTGGTTTAAATGCATGAAAAATACGCGCGTTTGCTGGCCCCTTAATGCATTTTCTACCAAAAATAATGCTTCAACCGTCAAAACCGGATAGGGAGGGGGGGTTTGGAAGAGTGGTCGATGGTTTTCTGTTACAAATTCCGTAGTGTCACAGAAGTCTTTTTTTCGATATTTCTTGTGGTTTTTTTTTAAAAATTAAAGAAAAAAAAAAACTTTAACAATGACGGTCTTTTTTATTTCGATTTTGTCGTACCTAAGTAAAAAACGTTCGAAAATAAAAAAAAAGTCTTCGAGATTCGAAACTTTCATCGAATAGCTCTATCTAGACAAGGTAAAATTTTCAAATTATTATGGCCATTTTTAAATAATATTTTCAGATATTTTTTCAGCAGACCAAAATGTGTTGTTTTGTAATTTTTATGAAACAAAAGTGAGTGTGGATAAAAGTTTTATGTTGTCATCTCACATCTTAAAACGGAAAATATAATTATTGTTATTTATTAAATTACTTTTAGATTAAATAAAAAAAAAAAAATTAATTATGGTAAGCATTTAAGTACACATAGCCTTTTTCGTGAAATTTTGGTGATATTTTAATGTATTTTTGCATGTATACTTTCATTATTGTCAATGTTTATAAGTCCCGAATCCTAAATAGAACGTAGGTGCCTATAATAATATAATCTTTACGTTATGCAGTTGTAGGCATTTATGTAATTTTATTATCGAAAAAAGCATACACTGTCTGCAGTGAGCCGGGAACATTGCAGTTACTGGCAATCAAAAACCGAAAAAAAAAATAAAATAAAAAATAATAATAATACGTATTTCAATGCAGTTGATGTCCGTATAAATATACGCAATGCGGCGGTTTATCTTTTGACAAAATTAATATATTGCGCGGATACAATCACGAATCGGTATGTTATGGTATCATTTTCTTATTTACCATCGGATTTCGAAAGGTTCGGATAAACGGAACCTCCGTTCCGCGCCGTAAAATGTTTTACGTTCAAATAAACGCAATGCTATATTCGCTGCGAAACGTCCCCGCCCTCTCACGTTCGCGCGGGATCCGTTTGTCCGGACTGATTTGTTTGTTGTTTGCACCTGCAGTATAATAACGTTCGGTCGTGTTTATCCGGCCGTTATATTATTGTTAAGCGGGTACATTTACGAGATATTTTCGTTTGTGAAATCCGAAAAAAAAAAAACAAAACAAAACAAAAGAAAAAAAAAAATCGATCGTTTCTACGGCGGCGTAGGTCTAAATAAACACAAGAACGCCAGCCAGACGTACGCTGCCCTTTTGCGCGTACGAACCTACAGACATAGAAAGAAAAAAGAAACACGACTACTCGGCAACAATAAACAGCTTTGCGAGTTTCTATATTCTTACGTGCGTATAAAACGGGTTTCGTTTTTTTTTTTTTTTGCCTTTTGCTTGGCACTGACCGTAGGTTAGAGGTACGTTACCTACAACATTGTGTGTGTGTATGCGGTACTCGACAATACGGCCGCAGCAGACGGGCGACGGCAGTCGTCGAATTTTACCACAATAATGCGCGCGTTCTGTATGCACGGCATGGCATGGCTTGCTAAAATCTCCGATCCGGGGTTCGCGTGTGAGCGAACAAGGAAGCCGACCAACCCCTTCGCCAATCGTTCAGGGCACGACGACGACCCTAAATTAATATTCGACGCTAACGCAATTTTCCGTCTCCCTCTTCATTATTACCGCAGCAGCTGTCTCGCTGCACGACTTTGCCCGGTGTCGGTATTGAATGACAAAAAAAAAAAAAATAAAAAAATTTATACAAATCGAAAAACGCGTTTCCCCGCCACTCCGTTTCCACCCACCCTCCCGTACCTTTCACTGGTGTAGGCTTGAGGAAACGTTATAACCGCGCGACATAGCGAATTTTCGTTCAGCACTGACAACCCTCCTGTACTGTTGGTTTTAACGTCGCAGTAAAATGACATATTATCAAACTTAAATATAATAACTACGTACATTATCTATGTCGTGCAGTCGTGTTATTTTTTTTCGTAATTTCAATTTGTAATCGAGATACGAGTGATCACGACTTAAAAATCCTTAAAAATTAAAATAACGGCGCGTCACAAGTAATGTTCTTATATTAAAGTTCGATAATAGGTCAATTCGCTCTAATATAAAACTAACAGCGCTGAGTTTGTCCTTGTTGAACGAAAATTTCCCTTGTCACGTGTTTGTAAGACGGTGACAAACACGTGCGGACATAACGTACTCCTATCGTTGGTATCCGTTCATTTTTTTTTTCCTTGAACATGTATTTTCTCACACTCGCGATATCCAAATTAACGGTACAAACGGATTTTTTTGTCCGTGCCCGTGGGTAACCCATACAAAAACAACATGAACAACCAAAAAAAAAAAAAAAAACAAATCCAATTTTCCTTCCAAAAATACCGAAAACACAGCGTCAGTCGCGGGCTGGAATTTTTAAAAATTTTCTCGTAGCGATCATCGCTTTCGTATAATAATATTGTATAAAGAACTTCTTTTCGAAATTTCGAGTTTCTTGGCTCAATGGTTCGGGCTGCGCGCAAGGCGGTAAAATAACAGAAAAAAAAAATAATGACGCAACGATAGATTTCGATGCCGTCACGTGATTCTATATAATACGCGGTCTGACAATGATTTGACGCCCAACCTATATAATTTTACAATTCATTTTTCGTATTATCGTTTCCGTCCATAATCGTCGTCGTCACTTTTATTATTATTATTATTATTATGTTATTAAGAGGACGTCATATACCCGCATATTATGTGTCGTCTCCGTCTTATCAATAACGCACGACGTATAGCAAATTTCCGTTTAACAGAACCAATATTTTGAGCTGTTATAGAATATTTAATAGAGTAGGTACCTAGTCAATTGACCTATTATCAAACATTTTTAAACTGTGATGTATCACGCCACGTCGTCGACTATCAATCAAAACCTTGAGCTCTTTTTTTTAAACCTATTTTTCCCCCTTACCTAATCATTCTCGTAGGATTTGTGTTCCCAATATCGAGTTTATCGCGTATCGTGTAAAATTTGTCAAAATTGACGTTCAAGGTTTTTGCTGGGTTAGCCGACGATATATTATAGTCATATTATTTCACTTGGAAATTGAAATATCGACTTAGTTGCACGGAGATAATGTTCCTATCTTCAAGTTTGATGATAGATAAATTATTCACTCTAATATTAAAACTAACAACACAGACAGTTGTCTTGCTGAACGCAAATTTGCTATGTCACGTTGACAAGACGGAAACACCACATGCGGGTATAGGATATGCTCTTGAGGGGCCTCTACGCGCCGGTGATATATGATTGTGTACGTTTGTCCCTTTTGATAGCCCGATTGCGTACAAAAATGAGTGAAACGTCGCCAACATGCACTACTCAGTATATTTACTGTATGTATGAAATTGTTATGTGAATGTATAACATACGAATACCTAGTGGCTATAGTGAATATAGTAAATTAACTGTTAAGTAAAAATTATGCGTGAATTAATAAACAATTATTTTTAGTTATATTTTATCAGGTACTATTGAAATAAAACCAATATTAGTAAATTAAAAACTATTATAAATTAATAAATTAATAGATTATAATGCAAAACCTCGCGAACGATTACCAGTCCCTGTAGAAAAAAAAAATATAACACATTATCATCTATTTTAAATTGAGCGAATAGGTTAATTATAATATATTACGTTATTACATTATAATATATTACATGTGGTTATTTTTTGGATAATTTCAGTGTTGGAATAGTAGTCGTGAAAATAATGTCACTATTAAGTTTATCAAACTATAGGCACTTTAAAGGTTAGTTAATCAAAGGTTTTTTCTAAAATAAGCTAATTTACACATTTTTCACAAATTTCACGCTTGTGAACGGCAACGTTGTATTAAATTTGGGTAAGTAGAACGTACGCAATCGTATTAGTGAAAAAGGTCTGTACACATCGTATGCAATCGTAACGCACCCCTACGCGTGTATTTTTGCTCAATAACCCGTTTTATAGGAAAAAAACTCTCGTGTCTCTCGTAGTGTGAACTCATTTCGGTCATATTTTCTTGTTGGAAAGAGAAAGACTCTTACAAGGCGAATTGAACTTGAATTTTAAAAATTATGTTTCTAAAGTTGTAAATTGAGCTATAATATAACTGCTTATTTTAATTGTATTTTTTGTGGTTTGCGGTTACATAATCAATAATCAAAGTGCAATGCGCACTGAAGTTTTCCTCTTTTTTTTTTAAAAAAAAAAAGGTTCTAAATCTGATCGCTTTGAAGCATGATAATTTTTTCTGTAAAACATGTTTTGTGCGAAAAAAAAAACGGATCGTACACAGGCCACTTAATATACAAATCAAAGCGGTTTTAATATCGATTGTTCAGAACTGTTGTTAAAACTATTAGTTTTAAATGTTAATTATTTGTACGAAAAAAAAAAATCACAAGCAGGACCCTTAAGTGCGCGATATTTGTCTCTTCGAATTCGTTATTTGTTCTTCGTACAGTCCGTAAACACACTCCTATAAAATAAGGCTTGCGCTATTATTGTTATTGCCTTACGATAGTTGTTTGCGTCTCGAGTCGGTCTCTATACCGACCGTTTACCTACATTATATACATTTCGAATGACGTGTAAAATCGAAAATGGTCCGATGATGATGTAGGACGTACCCATACCGATAACGGCCGTGTATAACGAATAACAAAATAGACGTTATCGGTTTAATGAATTACGATTACGATGTTACCGCAATATGTTAAATATATTATTTTGTATTTCTTAGAATATGATGCATTTGTAAAATATAAATGTTTGCGAATTGCCTTTTTACACGAATAAAATGCTATTCGGCATTTTGTAATATTGGATGATAGGTATTAATATGATAATATTATTACGCGAGACTGCAAGAGCAGAGTGTAAGGTGTCTTTTCTGGAGAATTGTTATTAGTCTCGCGGCGTTTAAATCCTTTCACTTATAATCGTTATGAAATTATGCGCGGTTTTTCAGTTTTCCGTAACGCTTTAGAAGTTTAAAGCTGTAAATCGAAGAAAAAAAAATAAAAACCTCACGATATAATATCAATTTAAATGTTATGATTTCATTAGGAATGTATCAAAACAAAAATGAATTTATAAACCGCGAGAAAATGTAAAATATTATTACTACCTACACATATTATAATATGGAACGCGATTTAAGTGTGATGTTATGTAATAGGTGTCGGTTGTTCATAAAATATAGGCGCATATATATGTACAAATTTTCTATGATAATTGTGTCTAAAATATTTGTTGTTGAACATTATATATATACACAACTATAGTTTCGTGAAAAGGAAAACGTGTTTTATTACCGTGACCTCAGTGGCGTTTTCATTGTGACATTATATTGATTAGGGATTCCAAGGCGTTAACAATTGTTTGGTTCGTACAATTATCGTCGTCAGACTAGCACGGATTTGTTTAACGATGTATAGGTACGAATTTAAACGAAAACTCAGATTTTCGCGTTCTGTGTATTATTTTACTGTCGATATATAGTACATTGACTCGAAACATTTGATTAGAAAGTCCCGTTTATAAATGGTGCGCATAGAGTCGTGATTTTTGTTCGGATCCTCTGCAATTCACCGAGTAAAAACGCGTCTCGGGGGTATCAAATCGCGACGTTTATAATATTTTGTTTTGTCGACCACGGTCCACGGGCAGCGACCGCACATTGATAGTGTGAATATATTATTCTATTTTCAATCGAAATGCGTTGGATTTGCCGTGTTTGATGACGATTCCCTGTGTAGATCATATACATTTTTGGAATTAATCCAAAATGTGGTCAAAAATAGAAATTTTTTTTATTGTTATTATTATTTGTAGTTATTGATATTTAGATAACAAAGTGTTTTTACAGAAGTCAGAATAAGTCTGTCTGGCTTAGTTTTAGAGTTATAAGCGGTCAAACGTGACGAAATCGGGTCTCTAATTTCATCTATAATATGCTTTTCATTTTTCCTTGTTACTCGCCCGACGTAATTTTGCACAACAAATGGAGGGTAGACGGGTATTTTCGATTAAAATTATCCGATTGTGCGCAGCAAAATATGGCGCGTTGGAACGTCTGTAACTCTAAAACTAAGCTAATTAATAAATTATCTTAATTTAGACGTATTAATTGTATATACATTATTATTAGCCGTAGGTACGCCTTTGAAGTTTACACCACGATTACCACGAATGTAAAACACAATACAATAATTTGTGGTTTAGACACATTGATACCTACACTAATTTTAAATGTATTAAAATTTAACAACGTATTTGTTAATCAGATTATCTTCTTGTCTATTATTATTTTATTCATATTGTAGTACTTCATTACTTCTAGTATATTGTATGCACGTAGGTATATGATAAATTTAAATACCCACCCACTTCTTTAGACCCGCTTCACCATGCCACTGATATACATAATAATATGATATTAATATTAATCTCCCACTGACGCGAACTACGACGTAATTGTAATTGGCTCCAATAGCGCATTGCTCAGCGTTTACGTTTTGTTCTTTTTAAAAAAAACGATGTGTTTTCATTTTTAAAACGTTATGAAACTATAAAATCACACTGTCGAGATGATGATGACAATAATAATATTAATAAGGAATAGCTAATAGTGTTGATGGGCTTTCCGCTATTATTGGTGGGTAGTTAGGGGAAGATAGGAAACATACAGTGATTTTGTTTTATTTTAAATAATTTATATCTGTACGCGACGATAATCATCGCTAACGAAATCCGATCCTGAGTGACGTTAAACATGTTTTTAAATACCGGTGTTTATTACGATTAAAATTGCAAATGAAAAAATATAGTAATTGCCGAATAGATAAAAATTTGTTTTCAGAAAAGATACAAATACTTGAAAATCGTATAGTAAGGTTTTTAGTAAAAAAGTTGTGACACAACGAAAAAAAAAAACACTAGTTAAATCAATATGTTCTTCCTCGCCGCGCTCAGAATCTACCTCCATTACTTTTTCCAGTCTTGTTTTTTTTTCTCTTATGCATTTTTAAAATTATTTTCGTTCTATATTGTTTTAGCGCTTGTATACAGCTGACAGTAGGCTGGCCCCGAAAAGGCCGTTTTTCTTTCTAAATTTTCCTAAGAGGTCTCTGGACTCCTGGTTACCGAAATGACGATTGGTTTCTTCCCGGTAATACCGTTGTTATACCACGGTAGACCGAAAATACCGGTGGTCGGTAACCTACAGCCGCCGATAATAACGCGCGTATACCGGTATCGATATTCGAAACGATTTTATCACTCGTCTACTGTATACTCATATTGCTGCGGGTGTTGTATACTTGACGGCGATTTTTTTTTTTTTTTTTTTTTTTTTTTTTTTATTATGGTTTCTCTATTTTGTCCAACATGACGTGCGTGCATCAACGGGACACATTACATAGCTGTTTGTTTCACATAAATATTATGTCAACTCTCTCGTCGTCCCCCTATTATCGTAAACAAACATTAAACACACTCGCGTTGACCTTTATCCCACTATATTTCCATGCACACACGCGCGGACCCGCGGCGGTTGCGCTTCATAATATTACTATTTTATATAAAATCGCGGACAATATTATTACGAAAACGCCGTACTTTTGTGGCTAACGCCGGTAATGTAGATAACGCGTGTATGCACGTATGTATATTTCTTTTTGTTTGCAATTCACACGGTACGCGCTTGTCGAATAATATGTCACCGTCCGTGTACGTTCAACGTGTTATAGACGCGCGGCGACCTTCCCGCATTGGACTAGGCGCCCGAGCGTTACATCCGATTGTCGCGGACGCGCAATGTTATTATGACTTTATGTCTCGCGTGTAGTAGGCATACTTTTAAGAAGCCGCCGGCCGACCAATCAATACAGATGTACGCGACGTTATGCGCGTCAATTGCCGTTTTTTCTCTTTCTCCGTTTCTTCGAAAATGAAACGCACCGAGAAATAATTCGACAAAAAACGACCGGTACTGACGACGGATGTGCTACCGATGTTCCGGAGGGTAACTCGAAGGACCGGGACATAATAATACAGCGGCAATCTAATTCGTATCATTTGTGCACAACGCCGCTAAACCATTGCTAACGAAAAACGATTTTGCACAGAGTGTTACTATAGATATAGTCATGTTATTCCCTTGTTGCCGATTTGCCAATTTTTCTCGTGCATTGAGAAAACCACCTTCTCAATACGCTAATAAGATCAAAAATGCTGTAAGAAAGTTTCGTAAAAGTTTTTGATTGGAATAAGATTTTTGGTGGAATGAATGTTCATCCAGGCAAACAAAACGCACATCATGTATAGCTTCGCTATGAATCTTATATTATTACTCATTTATCAATTTATACGCCTGTTAACTGTTCTTGACCATTTTGTATCTGATGTACAGCATTATATATTTTGGAAATTTGCATGTGCCCATTGCCAGTTCCGGGCAAGAACTGTACAATAAACTTTTCAGGAGCTTTCATTATAGGAACTATTTATTGCACAGTATAAAGCAAAATCGAATATTTTATTATTTCAAATTTGTTTTATGTTATTTTCGCTTATCGCCTAATATATGAGCTACACGCTCACTCCCGGTTGAAAATTTTGTATGACTGTAGGATAAATGCCGTATCACGAACAAAATCGTTTGGAGTCAATATTATATTTTCGTTTTTCTAATCGATAAACGCTGAGCATTCTGAAATGTGAAACTTTAGGTTGTCAATAAAATATTTTTCAATATTTGGCGATTTTTCTCAAAATATATATGACATTTAAAATAAAATAACACGTATAATTTATGTTAAATCTTGAAAATTGATGTTCGTGTATTGAGTTTTTTTGTGGGGGTTAATATTTTATATTTTAACGGTTTTATTCAAATTTATTGTATATATATATGGTAGTTAATCTCTAGTTTACTCGATCATACACATTTTGTAACAACTCTTTTTCTGTTTTATTTATTTAAAAAAAAGTCATGTTTAAGTAATTTGTATTTAAATAAGTCAATAATTTAATTTACTGCAATACTTTCTGTGTATTAACATTAAAAATAATTCTATTTTATTCCTACGCGATGGATTTATAAAATATTCTTGCAAAATTTGTAGCCTACGCAATTTTATTCGTATTAATCGTAGGTACGCCCAAAATTATTTTTATAAAATATAAATTTAAAAAAAAATTGCATATTATTATTATAGTTACTGTTTTACTATAGTATTATAGTCATATAATATTATGCACCGTGGCATGCCTAGACATTTTCAATAGTAGGATAATAATGTGTAGCATAAATTTATCATAAATAAGTCTTAAAATCTAATGTTTAAATCAATAAATCAAGCTTTTCGTTCTAACTTCGCTGAAATATTGCATACATTTCAAGGTTTTGTTATTGTGTAAAACGCCAATGGGAGGGGGGTGGCCCATTATTATGACCCGCTATTGATCGTGTCTGATTTATAATTTCGGATTTTTATTCGATGTATCCGTCATACAGGACACTATTATTGTATATTTTATGCATTGAATTTTATTAAAGTGTATATTTACCTATAACCATGTATCATAACTAATTCGAAAGGGAAGGGGGAAATCATACTATATTCGGTATTATCACGAAGTCACGATTTTAGTGATCTATACTTTTACCAAAAAAAGTTTAATTACCATCTACTCACCGAGGTATACGGCGATTTTTAATGGCATACTCTTCTATATAGACATTGCTAGGTATCAAACTCACCATTGTATAGTATAGAGTTTGACCTCTTTATTATTATTATCATGAAGTCAAGTTGATTATTGCGACGTAGGTATGTGCATATATATTAATATGGTATGTATCTATGTTAAAAATAGCGTTTTTTTTTTTTTTTAAAGAACGAGTGCTGCAACAATATGGAATACTATATACGCGGATATTATTCTAATATATTTTACCGTCGGAGATGAGGTATTGAGTTTCAGCGTATTCAGACGTGATTTCTCATTAGATTACTCGTAAAAATAATATTATGCTCCGTTCCAATGTGCATTATAATACCGTTCTGCGGTATCTTTATGCGATCGTGTCCACGGGATAAAAATACAATAATAATATTCTTAAAAATAAATTACTACAACCTTTTTCAATATAATAATAACGCACAATTATTTATCGAGGCGGGTATATCGTATATACGTGAGCATAGTCGAGTGCGTACGTAAATAATATCACCCCCTCCTCCCTCCGTCAACCGTCGTGTTTTCGGTGCGTTTAAGTAGCCGTGAAATTAGCTCGATATAAAATTATAATAATAAATTAAAAAAAAGAAATACGTTCCGCTATCACAATCGCGGTGTACTTAAATTGAAATTTGAATTAGAAAAAAAATAATGTCGTTTTGCATCGTGCGTTACTTTTTTTTTTTTTTTAATTATTTTCAGTTTTAACGGGACTATTACTGTCGTATTATTCAATATAGAGTTATAGGAAACGGTAGCGTTTTTGTACAGAGTTGACTTTTCTGTTTACGATTACAGATTCGTATTTTCAAATGCGCCCTGTACTGTACCGGCAGTCACGAACTAATTTCGATCCGAATAGTCGCGTATACTGCGCCGAAACATTTGAATATTGAAATCCCATTCGTGTGTTTGTCGTAAAGACCTGATCGAACGTTATAACACTCCAGCGTACCGTGGCCGGAGTTTAAAAATTTAAAGTTTTTACAAAAAAAAAAAAAATAAAAAATAAAAATTTAATACGAACACTGAAATACGCAACAGTAATACAACGGCAACAGCTGCACGCGTGTGCATTTCTCTTCGTGTTCTTGTGCGCCGTTGACATGCGGCCAACTATGTATCTACGGGGCCGTTTAGCCGTACAGGGCACCACGTGGGCGAATGCTATTCGACCTTACGCTAGTATTATAATTTATAGTATTATAATATACTGGGCATCGCGATGATTTGCATATATTTCGAGTTTTTTTTTCCTATCGGTTTCGAAAAAAAAAATCATCTTCCATATATTTATATAATATTCAAAAAACGAATAGATAATTAAAATACTGATCCGAAACCATAATATTAAATAGGAATAGTGTATATTATTATCTGTTGGATATAGACTGCACTCCGCGTATAAGGTATATGCAGTCGTGTCAAAATGTAAGAACTTGTGCAGCGAGCCAACAACTATCGTGTCTCGTGTGCAACCTAACATTATACGAAATGTTGAGAAACTGGTTCTTATATTATATATACTTGCATTTTACAGTTTTAACGAGGATTTTCGAATATATATACTTACGTGAAAAATGTGAGAATTTTCGATTTCGCCCGTTGGGTTCCTATATATTATATACTTATACTATAATCTATAAACATACACAAGGAGATTTGGGCGCGTGTAAATATTCGAAACTCGCATATAATTATATGTGCATGTATCAAAAGTGGTCGTGTGTGTGCGATGTAAATTTAATGTCTGCCCGAAAATAGACGATGATGAAAGGCATGTGTAGAAGTAATAATTATAATATTTCATTAATATTATACGTTGAATACTTAAGTACATATAACTATTATAATCGTAATAATTTATGAATAACGATTTTATGTTAACGATGAGGCCCATATCAAGAGTACATAATTTTTTTTTTTTAGTAGGGTTTTTAGAAAATGTCTATGTCTTTACGTTTACGAATATAGACGGCAGAAAAGAAATACCCCCCGCCCCCCCTCGCATAAACGATTAACTATTTCGGACCAAACGATTATCGCGGAAAGGTACCTGTATCTATATTATATTATAATGGTCCTGTCCGTGGCTTTTATTTTACAAACCGTCAACAATCGCTAATGACAAATTGCAAATGTTTAGACAATTAAAAAGTTTGTTTTACCATTTTTTAGCCATTGTTGTAGGTGAGAAGTTGGGAAGGTAGGATACATAGGTTATTTCATTTATATCTGTAAGCAACGATAAACCATTGCTAACAAAAGACGATTTAAAGCGCAGTTCGGTAATACATAATTTGAAGTGCCGTAATTTTTTTAATCTAACCTTCCTACGTTTTTTACTTGATTATTATGAAAACCAATTCGAAAATCAAAAAGTGACCTGTATCAACAAAAAAGATCTCTTTTCGTTTTTCAATTGGAGCTATGTATGTGCCAGAAAACGTGGTAGGTACTTATTTAAAATAACGAAATCGTGAAAAAATCGTATTTTTTTCCTCGGTTAATCGTTTTTATTTTAAATACCGTTTCGAAAATCAAAAAATGACAGAAAAGATGCTACATTTATACATCGGAGCAAGTTTTCTAGGAAAAAAATGGTCTACAGTGTAAAAAACCATCAGTACCATTGTAGAAATATTAAAAAAAGGATAAAAAAAAATCGCCCGATGATTTTGGAAATTTTATCACGTCTAGATAAGTCCAATATAAGTATCATCACAAAGATTCAAGTCTTTACGAGTATTTTATAACCGAATTACAGCAAAAAAACTACCAAAAATCAAAATTCTTTAAAAGCTCAAAAGTGGCTTAAAATTTTTGGCAATGATACCATAAGAAAGTAAATCAAAAAGGTATTTTATTATTTTTCGATTACATCATTTTTTCTGATAGAAAACATTATCCGTATTTTTATAAAATAATTAAATCGTGAAATTGTACGTTTTCCTACGTTTTTTTCCCACTAAAATGCTTTTATTTAAAAAATTGCGTCGAAAATCAAAAAAATGACCTCTTTAAAGTACCATCTAGACAACTTTAGCTTTTAGAAAAGTTGCTATACGTAAAAATCGGAGTAAGTTTACTAGGAAAAAACGTGTCCACAGACTTGAAAAAAAAAGAAATAAACATCTCAGTAAAACCAATAGCTTCTTTTGCTACGCTCGGAATATAAAAAAAAAAATCAGAATCGGACCACTCTACGTATAGTGACACAAGAATTAACAACGTAAAACTTATGTGTTTTAGGTCGCGTGCAGAGTGAAAAAAAAAATAATCTTTGGAGTGTATTATAATATGCCGTTTGGTTTACGTTTAATAATATTTCGATTATTTATTATAATAATATAAACCAAAATATTACGTGTGAGAACGTAATCACGAACGTTTTTTTGTTCACGATAATTCGGGATTAAGCGAAAAAAAAATTGATACGGATACCTAATCCGTATTGCTATTGTACGCACTGTATTATAAATTAAATTAATTTATCGCTACCACTCCGTGTCAAGATATAGCTTAGAAGTAAGCATACAAATTTAGATGCTTTTCAATAATTTTTTTCTATTACATCACCTACACACCGTATCACACGGTGGTTGACGTAATGCATATCTGTGTATTCGGCATTAATTATTTAAACATTACAGTATATCTATTGTTAATTGTTGTGTTCCTTATATATCGTGCTAATTTTGTTTATCTTTCGTCGCGATTAAAACGCATAATATAGCATTATAACGTTACAAGTACGTCCGTAAAATAACGTCAACGATACTGAGATATTATTTCCTATGTTTTTTATCTAACAAGTGCGTGTATTAGTATTAATATTATTTTCCATTACGGTGATGAGATACTGTGTGCGAAAATCGAATATCTCACGCAACGAACCTCTCGATAACCGCTTTCGACGCGGAGAACTATTTTCATTGGGTAATTTTTTCTTGTCTTTAATATTATCTTACTATTACTATCGTTCACACGTAATTATACTACTCAAATATTAATATTGAGTAAGTGTTCAATTGAACTCAAACCACACTATACATTGGAATTTGTGGACCTTTCCACTTATCTTTTTTCAATATATAATTTAATTTATTCTATAGGATTGTTGCAAACAAGGTAACAGAAAATAAAAATTTTAATCTTCGTATCTTCGTCATAACGATTGCTGTTTCAAAATTATAAAAGTACCACAAAAAAAAAGAGCCAAGGGGCGGGGAATAGATCTCCCCCCACGATTGCCACATGCCATTGATTTTTTCTTAATATAATAATTTAAACGTACTATGGCTTATGCGAATTTTTGTCTACTTTTTAGTCATCACTCGTGGGTTCATACTTCACATTTACAATATCATTTGAATGCCGTTCGAACACAATATGCTTGTGCAATAAAAATAGAAACTATAATTGACTATGTAAATATTGTTATAATATTATACTTACTATATAATATTTTACCTGTCGGATTTTACTGTATTGTATTATTGAATATTCGACACCGATTCGGTTGCAGACGTAACGTAAGTAAACACGTGCCACATGTATTTAAATAATTTTAACAAAACAGAATCTTTTGAGTAAATACCTTCTGCCAGTATTATTGCTACCAAGTGTGTAAACGTTTTTTTTTTTTTTTTTTTTTTAATTTTCTATTCAACTTTCGCGTTGCGTCAGTTACATTATAATCATTTTTAATAATTTTAAGAAATACATTTTGTATATTTTAGATTTTGAGCGAAACGAGGAACGTGTTTTTATTCTCGGTTCAATCAACTACTTTATAGAAATTTTTTGTAGTATTTTTAATCTCATCGGTGCCATTGTGAAAGAAATTTTTAGATTTTTTTTGTAATTTTCAAAATAAATGGGAAAAACATTACAATTGTTTATGTAATTTTTGTTCATTTCTGGTATACTTTGTTAACAAGTTTTATCGTTGCGTAGAGATGTAAATTCAATTACTTTATACATTATTCTCCATTTTAACTTTTCTCCTTAAACAGTGACCTACTCATTTGCAGTATCAGCTTTTTTAGATTCTGAGCGCACCGAGAAACGAATTGGTTCAACTTTGATGTTTTTTTTTTTGAACGACCGAATTGAAGTTCAAGTTTATTAAAAATATGAATTGAATTTCAAAAAAAAGTAAATTCGAATAAAATACAAACAACATAATTCACGTTTCATTCGTGCATTTTGAACTCGTTCATTCCGATGACTGTATAAAGGCCATAATATAAATGTGTATAGCATAATATGTTATAAAACATAACGTATAATGTATAATATGTTCAATGTTCACACGAGAATAATACGTATAAGAAGCAAGAGAGTAGCTCGGCGACTTTGACTGTAACAGCTATTAACGGTGTATTTACTTGTCCCGTGTGAACTGCACTTCCATAGGCATTATAAAACAGGTGGTTTTCGTGCGGTATGAGAATAATATTATATCATTCTCTCTACATTATTATGTACGACTGGCAACTGTTATGTTTATAGACAATAATTATAATATTATTACGTCTCTGCGTGTGTGCATTCCAGTAATATTATTATGTGTGTATATATGTGTATAAACGCGTTTACCTATGTATTTTATACTCGTACCTGCGTATAAGACCACGTGGTACGTGTGCGTGTGTGTGGGTTTTGGCACACTGTACGGCGGAAAAAAAAAATCCGCGCACATTCGTCTCCTGGAGAGTGCACCGTATTATAATATTATTATTTTTGGTTGATACGACGCATCTATAAACACGAAACGCCCGACGAGCAAGAAACGCGTGGGTTCGCCTGCAGCAGACGTCATCGTATAATATTTTCGCGGTATAGCCGGGAAATCGTTGATAAAATAGTTGGTAACACGGCGTATTGGTTTTTTTTTTTTTTACATAGATTGTGCCTCGGGGATGTTGACCTTTTGATGGTGCAAAAGTAGCGTCGCACCGTTACAGTGCAGTGCAAGCGTATAGGTATTGGACGTTCCCGGTGTTTTATTTCGAACAATAGGTAGATGGGTCGCCACGACGAGGCGATTTTTATTTTCGTGCGATAAATTTTTAGAAAAGAAAAAAGAAAAATGAAACAAAACCATGTTGCCAATTGAGCGTTCGCGTGTCTTTCAAACGAGACTTATTTCATAATACAATGTAAACTGCATATTATATTCGTATAGGTACATTGCGGTTTGGCATCAATTCACTATACCTGTAAAGTATATACTTTTAGTTTTTTTTTTTTTTTTTTTAATTTTCAAAAACTAGTATACGAATCGATTGTTTCTAAATGCGTGGGGCGAAGTTGTTATAATATTTGTTTTCGTACCGACGATCGAACGATTAATATCGCAAATTATAATGTGCTAAAATTAATGAATATATTTGTTTGATCTTTAATCGGTCGCGTGGGGTAAGTAATTTCCCAGTTCAAATACAGATGTTACAAATTTCAAAAGAAAGTGCACCAACGTAATATTATACATTGTATATAGTGGTTGTTTACATGTTTAGATGACTTTATCAGCGAATCAAAACTTCTAGTATTGAGTCTGAATTTTTAAGTCTGAAAACCAAAATCAAACGGGTTGTGTTTGAAAAATATTTACCCTAGCCACGTATATAGGATAGTGAATGAGTAATTTTCGTTTCCTGTTTTGAAACATGTGCGGAATTCAAATTCGACGTAGGCACGTGGAAAAGTTACTATTATGTTTGCGTGTTGATATTATGGACGCATGTAGAAACCCAAAAAATAATCGTACATAACATAAGGTTCTAGACTGTAAATACTCAGATCGTATTTTCGCATACTGTAGAAACTTGGAATTTCACAAACCGTATAGTTCCAGACTGTATAATTTCCGAATTTGATAATTTTCATACCGTATTTTTACCGACCGTGAAAATCCGGAAATTCACAAACCGTATAATAATACCAGACGGTATTTTACTAGAAAAAATAAATACGCAGAACGTATAATGACCGACCGTAATGAAAATAACCCTCGATTTGTTGTGCAAAACAACAAATGGGTAGATAATAGGGAAAAGTGAAAAAGCATTTGATATTATTTGATAACACTGATCGGTCGGTGGATTTACATTCCGGATCTTCACGGTCGGTAAAAATACGGTTTTATTTTCCGAAAAAAAAAACGGTTGGTGGCATTACGGTTGGCTATATATTTTTTTTTCCGGATTTTAACGGTCTATACAATTACACTTTAATTCCGGAATTATACCGCCTTCCGATGTTATAGTGACACGTTTCATCGGTACTGAGACCTAAAATAATGTTTAAATTACAATATTATTATTAAGAATGTCGTTGAACTTGTACTTACATATATAAAATATGTAATGGGCACAATAATTGTTATAGTATACTCGCTGTACAGGGTGTCCCACGAAGATACCCATTGTAATCTCTTCGCGGAAATGATAAAGATAATCAAAATCAGTTTTTTTTTTTTTTTTATATTACTCATACGGATAAGGAATATATATATATATAATATATGTAATTTATTTAGGTTAATTAATTTTTTATATTTTATTAAAACGCTTCAAAAATAACTTTTTATTTTATTTTCTGAACATTTTGATGTTTCGACAGTTTATTTTCATTAAATTCGTGATTTTTAATAATGTTTTTATTAAATTTCAGAGAAAAGTAGAAACTAAAGAGTTATTTTTTTTTTAGTTTTTTTATCAAACATAAAAATTTAATTCAAATTTAAATATTCGTAGTCCCTATACTTGCGAGTAATATAAAAAAAAAAAAAACAGAATTTTATTATTTTTATTATCTCAGGAGATATCGCAATGGGTATATCTTCTTGGGACATCCTGTATAAACGAATCTATAACACTGTGATATTGGTTTTGTAGATTTTTGTTAATCGATTATTATTTTATCGATGTACACCGCAGTCTGTAAGTGCGTATAGTGTGCGTGCGTATGGTTTTTTTTTCATCATAATATAAATTAAAAATTCTCTATTCATGCATTATAAAAAAAAGTTTAGAAGGGACGTACAATTATTTGTTTTTTTTTTCAGACATGTATTGTATATCTACATGGAAATGAATTCGAAAAAAAAAACATGATTTCCAATGAGTCATAATTATCTCTGTAGAAATTGTGTATTTTCAAAATGGTTTAATTTTCCACTTTTATCCAAATTATGTTTAACAGGGGGGTGGGGCATCAGCAGTACCGGATTTTTTTTCATATATACTCGCGAATGGTACGCAAATCTGTTTGCTCGTTATTTGAATAATATACATTATAATACATTCATTTTCGCCAATCCACACTACTAATTATATGCTTTGAAATTGAACCGTGTATGATAATATAATTGTATTATTTCGTATCGACATATGTTATCGTGCGTGTAAATCACCGGATTTCCGAAGTTTAACCGTCCTCAGTTCCGTGGATTGTCATTTTGTTTTTTTTTTTTTTTTGTTTTTGCGAATGTGGTGTTTTTTTTTTGTTGATAATTATACTAATTAATTTATTTTGTTCGTTGACAGCGCGTATTATAACGTTGTTATTTAGGTACACACATATTGTTTGCATAATATATATAAATAAGTAACACGTTTTTTTTGTCTACCTACACCGGGAAAACTCATAGAGTTCACAAAAAAAAAAAAAAAAATACCGTTCACATTCTCATCAGGCAAACGTTACAAAATATGTGGTAGGTATCAATTAATTTGGTTGAAATTTTACCGATTATTTTTATGTCTTGTACTATGTATGCATTTTCGTCAAATACCATTTTTCATCATGATAAATTCGTTTTTCGAATCGCTCGCCCACTCTTTTTGTACTTTGATGATTATGTATCGAAATTTATGAAACGCCACAACGCCGAATGAAAAAAAAAAAAATGTTGATATAATATTTTTAATTTCAATACAACGCATTAAACAGACGGTTTAGGCATGATGGTTGATGGTAACAGGTTGTTGAACCGTGATTTATAATATACGATAATATTGCACGTGCAATTATAAAATATTGTAATTTATCGCCAATTATTAATAATAGAAAAATTCCAAGTGGCAGGCGGGTCATAATAAGATTGTTTGACAATAAATCAAAATATAGTTATTCCTCGTCGTGTTGAACGATCCTCGTGCAATCCTGTTAAACAGAACACAATCAGAAATGGGTACATATAGTTTTATTTGTTGAAAATAATGTAGGCAATATAGGTGTTATATCCTTGGCCCGTTTGATGCCGGGTTTATCGTCAATCCTGGTTTATTTCGAATTGACAGCTGATATTAATTTATTTGATATCGTCCTTAGGGAGTACGCAAATATTAAACCAAACTGTTTTAACTAATTATTTATTTATTTATTATAAATTGGACATACGTTATAAGAAATATAAAAGGTTTAAACAATATACTGAACTGAATCGCTGTTATTACTCGACTGACTAGGCATTTTCGCATTTTTATCAATACAAATACTTTGCGTCGGTATCGTCGCAAACTCCGAATAAGACATTCGCTAGTCTGACAACTACATTTATTAAACCTCTCTTTTCACGATGGCTATTTTTTGGTGATTCAATAATTCTTATTATATGGTCTATATTATTGTTGACTTTTACTAAAAAATTGTTTGTCTGGTAATTGTACTGACCACCAGTACGTTAAAAAGATGTAATTTCGAGGGATTGACTTAGTTTGCAGAATTATCCTATTTGCTTAATCATGCTACCGATTTTACCGCAGTTTTCATTGAAACTAGTGATATTGACGTAAGTGAGGAACCGCCAAAATTAATTATGTATACGTAAGTTATTAACTGAATGGAAATAGATTCCAGACTGGTTAAAAATTGATGTAACGTTGAAATGGTTCTTTTCTGTTTCCCCAAGTGATACAACTATGAAAACAAAATCAAGATGGGCATATAATGGAGATTCGATACCTAATATTTACTAAAATTACTTTAAGAACTAAAATAAAATATAAGTCTATTTTTACAGATTTGCCTAATTTGATATTTCGTTAATAATGATACATTTTCAACTCATTCTTATGGATTTTTATTGCACTGAATTAAAACATTTTCATTGTCATGCATATCCGTTACTGAATATGGATCTTTCCACTTGAGAATAAGTTTTCCTTTGTAGTTGTGGTCTTTAATAAGTACTTGGTCTTCTATTTTAATATTTATTTCGTGTTGATTTTTGTCGTAGACTGCTTTAGATTTTCGTTTCTTGCTTATGATCATTTCTTCGTGCTATCTCATAAGCTTCTTGAATTTTTAGTTTCATTTCGTTGTTATAATCATCGTAGTTATAACACGGTTGTGGTGGACGGCTTAGCGAGTGTTGGACCTCTACTTTTCTTCCGAACATTAACTCATATGGCTGGTATCAATTTGTCGTGTGAATTAAGCTGTTGTATCCATAAGCTAGGTATTCGTTCCAATTTTGTCTTTTATTCGTTGATATAATGCTTAAGGTACTCTATAAAATAGTACTATGCGACCTTTTAAGAGCTCCATTGGATTGTGGATGGTATGCTGTAGTTTTTATTTTATCTATTTGTAGTATTTTACAACAAGATATAAAAAGTTTATTACGAAAATCCAGTTTTTGATCTGTTACAATCGTTTCTGGTACGCTATGTAAGCATACTAAGTGTGCTTTTGCCAAACTATCGGCTGTGTGGTTAATTCCAATTGTAAATATTCTGAAGTCCTTTTTGCACAAAATGTCACTTCTAATAAGCGTCTGTATGTTTCCTATGATTTCACCTCCCGGTGTTGTATCGCTGTGAACGTTTTTCCCGCCAACTTAGTTAAAATTGATTGAAGGAGAATAGGGCGACAATCGACACTAATCTTTTTCGATACAAAGTCACACGCACTTAAAAATGGGTACACCTCCTGTGGACATTCTCCGTTAAACTTGGATGTATTACTTATAGTTGATTCGAGGGATAATGCTGATTTTTGTGCTATTACTTTATCTGGTTTCAAAATGGGAGTATTGTTCTCGAAATTTGATTAAGAAATTACGGAACCTAGACTATTGAAACTCCTACGTTAATTTTGAGCTTGAGATCTCGATACCCTACTGAAAATGTCGGTCGCGTTTGATCTACCGGTCGGGGGTGATATATAATTAGGGTTTGACTCAGTAGTCAGAATTGCTATCGTTGCTACCACTTGTATAAGTTGACATAGCAACAAAATATTTATTTAATTTAATATTAATACATTTTTCCTTTTCCCTTATTTTACTTATATACAATAATATAATGTATTGTATACAAAAAGATATTTCTTATTATTTTTGTTTAACTCACAGTAACATCCATATGATACCGCGCATATTGTTTGTAATTTCGATCGCCGCTGACTTGTGGATTTCTGTGTGGCACCCGCATACCGCACCCACGCGACTTCCCGCTGTCACTGCGTCGGCTCCATCGGTATGACCCACTCGCGCTCATGTCACTGCCAAGGCCAAATGACTATGGCGGCTATGGCGGCGGCGGTTGCTACGGCTGCGGCAAGAGAAACAATCGTTGAAATTCCGCGCCCGTCGATTTTGATGAATTCGCATAAACGTACAACATACAATAAACAAAATGCACACTGTATACATTGCGTGGACGTATTAAATACGTATCAAATCACGCGTATAAACGTATATTAAGACACTCTGAGGTGTAGACACGTATAAATATATGTATAGAAACACGTGTTATACGTATTTTAAAGACACTCAGCAGGGTATGAACGTATGTTTTATTCGAATTAGTACACCTAACCTGACAGATTCGTAGTGTTGACGTTCTCCAAAAAGAGCGCCGCTGCCGCCAGTTGTAATATCTTTGGCTCGGTTGATGCCGGGTTCACTGTCAATTCACCGGTTTATTCCGAATTGACAGCTGATATTAATTTATTTGAGTTCGTCCTTAGGGAGTACGCAAATATTAAACCAAACTGTTTTAACTGATTACTTATTTATTTATTATAAATTGGACGCACGCTATAAGAAATTAAAAGGTTTAAACAATATACTGAACTGAATCGCTGTTATTACTCGACTGACTACGCATTTTCGCACCAGCGATGTGTTCATATTCATAATCATAAAAATACAAAGACATTTCACTTACATGACTAAAAACAATATAGTATATTATATTCTTAATACCAAGTCACGGGTTCCCAACATAGGTATACTTAAAAAAAAAAAAAAAAATACATAATAATAAAGTATAGTAAAAAATAATGAATAATTTTTAAAAGTAATTTTTTTTTTTTTTTTTTAAATATATAGTCGGCAGGACAGTAGATATTTATCTGATAACAATATTAAAAAAATAAAAGTTATATCCGATCGAAAATAATCTCTCGAATAAATCCGTCGTCTATGCGGTCTACATATATATATATACATATATATATGTATATATCATAAAAATATATTTTTCCCGATTTATAATACATGTCCGTTAACAAGGTTAAATATTTTCTGTACAATGTAAAAAAAACTCAAAAAACACGTCTTTCGTTTTTACCTCGTTCGTGCTGTTTTGTTAAAATTAATTTGGTCCATTCGAACGTTATTTTTGAATAATTAAGTATACTCAATAATTTTGAGAGAAAATGAATGTATTATTGGTCAGTATAGTAAATACGATGTGGTTTTTTATTCTGTAAACAACTTTTCTACCGGAAATTTCGTTCCAATCGAAAACTTTATCGTAGCATTTTTGATCTAATTGGTGCAATATTTAAGTCATTTCGTTTTAGTTTTCTTAATAAACGAGAAAAACTAACAATTTGTTGTATAGTTTTTGTTGATTTCCCAGTTTCCTCGATAACAAGAGAAAATTACGTCTAATAATACTCCGCTGAGAATCGATTTTCGGTAGCAATTTATCGTTGTGTATACATATATAAATTCAATAAATTCAATTATTATATATTATTTCCTTCCAATCGAATTTCCCGTTAAAACAATGGCACATCCGTAATCAGCACTCGGCAGTATCGGTTTTCTTATTTTTGTTTAGCACGCTTCGATAGTTTGTTATAAAGATATCCGGGACCCAATTATTTTAGTCTATTTTCATTGCTTCGGATACTATAATAATATTGCTAACTGGAGTAGCTAGACAAATTTCTTATTGTATTACAATAGTAGTAATCGAAACGTCTAAGTTATACTATTTGAAAATAATAACATAGTAGGTACTAATGATGATATTTTGTTTTTTTGTCGCGTGTAAATAATTATGATTATTATGATCGTGCGGTCGTATTGCTGTCACGGGTCAAATTTTTTAGGTAACGATTCGATTCTGTTCCATTCAACTGTGGTTTCAGGTGTTTTTTTTTTTTTGTCAAATATTTATTCTCTTGTATACATATACTCACGTTCAATAACCGTTAATTAAATTTCAAAAAGGAAAAAAAAACTATAAAATATGTATGGAAACCAAACACGCTGCAGTATGCACCTATTCGATTGTTAAATATTTGAAAAACGAAAAATATCTATGTACTAGATTCGATAGATCGTATTTTAATATTATAATATGATATATATATATATATATATATATTCCTCGTGGCGTTTGATATTTTCTATTTGTGGTTTTATGTACTTGCCTACGCGTATTTGTATAAACTGATTGTTTAAAACGTATACTACGGTATATCGTTTTCCGGATGAGTATACATAGTGTGTATAACACGTGTCGAAATGTAGAAAGCCATTTTGAAAATTACAATTATTTTTCGGTGTCACTGACATTTCGCCAAATTATGATAAATATTTCCGCGCAACAACGCGTTGATAATATTATTTTCTTCTTATGCTTAATCTGGAAACCAAAGTCAAAAACAATACACATATATTGTTGTGCGATTTTTGTTCGAAACGTGCGACTTTTGATAATCGAATTTCAGCCATTATATCACTTCGAAGTCGGACTTATCGTCCGGAATAACCGGTGGGAAAACAATTTCTAATGTTAATAATAATTATACAATGCAAATTTCGTTTCAAACAAAGACGTTGGCGTACCGAGAGTCTTTAATATGAGGCGCAAGTCTATGATGCTTTTAAATTGTTCACGGACTCGCGGACTTCCTTCGAAATCACTTCGGGAGATCGTCTCCGCATAGGTACCAATAAAGAACCGCCGGAATAGAAATTAATTTCGAATCCGTATAATAAATAAACTATTATAAGTATGGTTATCTATTACGTCGGAAACGATTTTGTCGTGGGAGTCATATTTATTTCGGATGGTATATACCGAAAAATGTGATAGTAAAATTACATTAAATTATTACGAAGTATAGTTTTTAATGCGATTCCGCGAGCGCTCGTCCGTTGAATATTAATGCGATTTTTTTTATTGTTGTACACAAATTGTGATGTACGATATAAAATCGAATTTCACTTATTCGTATTCTTTAATAGGTACACTCTACGAACATTTTTTCCGATTACGACTCGATACAAAATAAAACAAAAAATACAATAATAATATTATACAGTTTACTACAGTTAAAAGGGGTGCTATTTATTTGTCATTTTGAAATCGAAGCTACACTCTTGTCAGTGGGGTTTTTAATAGTCGTTAAAAAATCGATTAGAATTTCTCAAACTCAATACATAATATAATTTTAAATTCAATACGCTATTTTAAAAACTATTCGAAGTATAAGTTATTTATAGTTGTCGAGAAGAAAAAGAAGCATTGGCGACGTGTGGACATGGCGAACAACGATGAAGATAAACTGGACGGAAAACGATTGTATATAGACATGTTAAACACACTACAAGAGCCAAGGCAGATTATCAAGACGATAGAAACAAGAAAGACGAAATTTATCGGACACATTATACGGCACAACGGTTTTATTTTAAATATTATAGAAGGAACATTAAATGGCGAAATTGGAAGAGGACCACTGAAAGATACAAACATTGATATATTGAAGAAGATATAAGTTCTACGAAACTATGTGTCAATGAAGAGATTAGTTGAACAAAGATAGGATTGAATGTATGGATAAGCCTTTAGATTAAAAAAAAAAAAAAATTGTTTTTAAATAATAATATTTATGGAAAACTTAAAAACCGTATAAATTGTCAGAGATAATCAGATGCGAGCTTCAGATAATATACTCATGGAACTGGCTAATAGCGTAGTTGTTTTATACGTGCATAGATGCGAATATGTTGTGTATGAAATTAGAAATGACTTGTACACACTCGGTGTAGTTTTTTATCAGCTCTATGTAATTACGGATAAAGAATATTAAATAAATACCAATAAATCAATTACTTTATAACATCGGAATATCCGGTACTCGTATTTATAATATGTGCAGTTATATACTTTTACCCCGTCCAACTATGATTTCCGTCATCAAAACGTCGTAAGTAGGTACATACAGTTATCAAGACACAAAAGTCGTTCTTATAATACATCTCTTTCGATCTGTATATGTACGAAGAAAGCGCGGTTACAAGTGCACCGAGTTTATTATAAATATGTTCTGATTTATTTATATATTCTGTATTGATTTATCGTTAAATTTTCGCATTATTTTTTTTTTTTGTCTTACGAACAATAACCATTTTTTTTTTATTATTATTATATATATTATTACAAGAGGTGAAAACAAAAGAAACGCTAGAGTTGTGCTCCTCGTTTCGAAATCGAATACAACTAATCACAAGAATCGCACAAGAATGCTATTGTTAACGCAGTAGACTTATATTATTATGCGTAGTGAGTCTATAAAAATACTTATCCGAACGGCTCGGTATAAATACAAAATAATAATAATAATAATAAACCATCTTGTCAAAGTATTTATTTTATTTTATCGCGAACTAACGATTTATAGGCATCCCATTAAGCGAATTTTATTTCGTAGTTTTTTTTTTTAAAGTTTTGATTGAGCGCCTTGTATATACAAAGAAAAATTTGAAATAGAATCTTAGAAACCAATATATATATACCCACAGTCACAAAAATATTCTTTATCCAAAGTTGAGACGAAAATTATGCGGACCAGTCGAAATTATATTTTGTTGGAAGCAAAATGTTGTAAACAGCTTAGAAAAAATTATCATATTAGATTTGTAATGTATGAAAAATCAAAAATAAATGTAGTTAAAATCTTCGCCGATTAATAAATGACCGTTTGTACATTTGTTTTAGTAAACATCCATACCTCGTGTCCCATAAACATATCTCCACTAGCGGTTAGACCAATCCGCCACTTTAACTTTCTTCTGCGCAGTTACCCTCAATGAGGAGAGTATTTCCTAAATTAAATTCACTATTCCGTTACAAAATCTTACTCTGCGGATGTTCAATAGACTCAACCATTTGTCCATTTGAACACGGAAAACCTTGTCGTATAGGTATTCAAAATTTAAAAGGTAAAAAAATCATGTTTCAACGCCGAATTCGCCCGATTGACGCGGTTTACATAATATACAATATTATATAAAACCAAAATCGTGTGCTACCTAGTAATGTTTAGTTGTTTTAGAATGTTTTTATTGGCTCGGTTTCATTGTTGCGGAAGCCAAATAGATGCGTTTAAACTTTTTCACGCCGCGCTGCTCTATTAACCGAAATACCTATGTAAAGTTATTAATACAAAAAAAAAATTATACACATATATAATATTTTGTCTCATTCTCAGTGATATTCTATTAACGTTTTTTGTTGGTAGATCGCATTTTAAATATTATTTTTGTTAAACATTTATCAACTCTATGCGAATGAACAATAATAATTAAGTATTATAATATTTAGGTAGGTAGTTTATTATGTAAAGGTTTCGGTGTATACCTACGTCTCGTACGGTTACTTAGCACAACGATTATGTTTTATTTATTTTGACAAGTCTCTGGGCAAAATAGTAACTAGTAACAATAAAGGTACCAATTAAATATTAATTTATTACTTTTTTTTTTTATTATTATTAAACTTGGCTCGTTGCATAATCAACTCGATTAAAAAACGGGTAACGCGAATCTCGTAACTCTATTATGACGTTATGTCAAATTTTTTTTTTATATAATTATCACAATATGTTGAAACTGTCTAGTCGATGAAAATGTTTTAATGTCAAAGATAACTTTTAAATCTTATTATGTGTAAAATCTAACTTAACTTAACCTTTAGAAAAAAAAAAATTAATTAAAATCTTAATGAAACAAATGATTTAAATTTCCGCAACTATTTATGATGATGATAATAGATGAGCACATTTTATTAATCAAACATATTTGGTGCACTTAATAATTAATATTTAATTACTTACCGTTACTTTTTGTTGCTTTATTGAAAACGCCATTATTAAATTAAATTGATATTTTATTACAATTTAGAAATTAAGAGGTAAATTTAATTTGTTATGTCGTAATATGTTTTTTTTCTCCGGGATCTTATTAAAAAATATATTGTTCGTGCACGTGTGACATGTTAAATATATTGCCTATATACCTCTCCTTTTATACGTTTTTTTTCGCGTCTAGATGGTATTATCGAAGAGAATTTTAACGATATTGACATATTTGTATGCATACATTTAAACAATTAGGTAATTTTAATCGATTTCATGTTCAACATGGTACATTCAAATATTCAATTTCATTTGGTATTTATTTTTGCGCGACAACTGAACGTGGTGCCGACTATGTAATTACGCGTATTACATAAAATGTTATTTTTAAAACAACTAGTGTTTGGCAATGAGTTTTCGAGATTTAAGAGTTTGCAACAACGTGATTAGATTATGATTCAATACATTTTTTCAGTACTGTAATGTGTATAAGTGTATTCAAATATAATAAAATACAAATAATTTTTAATTTTTTAATATACTTTTTGACGAATTTTTCCCGAAAATAAAAATAAATCCAAGTCCATATAGCGATCTAAACATTTGGACATTTCCCTAGCACCCCCATTCCCTCCCACAAAATAGAACTGATAGCGTAATTGTGTTTTTTTTTTTCGTTATCATTATTTAATACGTGATTCGTATCCATTATAATTAATTTTAAGTGAAATAGAGAATCGTAAATAAATTATAAATATTTAATAGACACATTGAACAAAACATTGTAATTGACCTTATAATAATACTTATTTCACTTTAAATGTTTTATGAATTATAAATTCATTTTTTTTTTTTAAATGAGTCTTTTTGTCAACAAAATAAATGTAAAAAAAATAAAACTAACTGTAAAAGTACAATAAATTTATTTGTATTGATCATGCGTTATTATTTAATCATTTGTTGGGGTTATCAAGTTTGTAAATTAAAATATTATGATAAAATTAGAAGAAAAAAAATGTTTTGATTTGAACATATACCTATTTAAAAATTGTGTTAAAATTAAAAATGTATTATCACTATATTATTGAATGTTTAAACGTTGTCAATTGATAGTCAAATATGCAATGATGAGTAAATATCCATTTTCAGTTTCATGATTAAATCTGTTCATAAATAATAATAATAATATAATGTAGATGTTTACAACATTTATTTTAAGATTAAAACTAGGTAAATGATAAATATTAATAAAAAACAAATATTAATGATAGTATAATAATTGCATAACTATTAATAATTAATAGTTTATACAATTATTGATAGTAGCAAAAAAAGCACGCTAACGCCATCGGTTCTGTTTGAAGGAGGAGGGTGTTAGGAAAATACCCAAATGCTTTATTTTAACTCGGAGGGTAGTTCGTATGCATTTTTAAATTGAGCATACAAATGGATCCGAGCTACGTAGTAAATTATAGTAGCGAAAAAATACGCTAAAGCCATCGGTTCTCATGAGAGAGTGCTGGAGAAACGTTTCTCCAGCACTACCCCAATTTTTGGTTTGTTGGACAAAAACTAAAGACGTACAAATTTGGAAAATAGTCATACAAATTCATACATATTGCATATTAAATATTAGCAAAAAAAAAAAGCGTGAGTGAACCGAGCATTGGTTTTACAATGATGTTTTTTTTTTCCACAGGAGTTTTCTAAACAAATGGGAGAACCGGGGAAAACCAGGAAAATAATTACAATATCGAACAAATACTATTAGAGAAAATAATATATATAGGTAATGCATTTGTAATTATTATATGTAAATATATTGTTGTCAAAGCAACATTATCAACTGAACTTCGCTCGTTTTTTCGTTAAGAAATGATAAATCGTTGTTTACAGACATACATTGAATTACATTGTTATTTAATTACAGTGATTGCACCCGTCTTCATCATTATCTTAGGACAAATTTTTCTTTTACAATTATAACTATTATTCTATTGTATTGAAATTTATTGTTGAATTTCCCCTGAAAATAGACATTATTGCACTGTATTTTGTTTGTTATATACTCGACACCCGTATATAAATTATATATCTTTATCTGATATACAAGATGGAATTTAAATATAAATATCACCATGTTAACGCGAGGGAGGGTAATTTTTAGCTATGAATACCTCTACAGACCCTTCCTCAAATGATCGACGAGGATATAATTGTGTATTGTATGACTACGTTATAGTATCCTTAGGATATCATTACGAGGGTTTCAAATTTCACCCGTACCGTTTTTATTATTAAATTTCACAATTTTTTTAAAAGTAGTAAAGTAGTATATATAAGTAGTATACTTTATATATTAATTTGTTTGTAGCAATTATAGTATTCCATATAATACCTACAAAAAATATTTTAATTTATTAAAATAATATACTATATAATATTATTTAAATAAATTATACTTACGTATTTTATTGGTAACGAATCTTGTAATGCGCGAATAGTTTCGTTAAAATATACGATCTGTAGGACGAATTTCATAATTTTCGTGAAATCGAAGTCGAATGGCATCGTGTTCTCGAAAAGATAGATTTCACTAAGCGGAGGATACGACATAATATCTTTGTAATTTAATCGCCCATTGCCCGTAGATATATTCGTTTTTATTTTATTATTTATTTTTTATCAACGTTATTGGAGATTGTTTTTTTTTTTTTTCAAATACCTACCTACTGTTTCTTTAGCGCACCGTGTCGAATAACACGTTTATAATTCTCCCGGGGAAATGATTTATAAACGGGTATTTCGTAGTATTATTCAAACAACTCGACGTTTAACGGACAGTTTTATTACACCGTTTTGACATTTACCGCCCTGTATAAAACCTCTAATCTATAACATCATCGTATTTTATGGCTTGACCATATATTAATATGTTATAATAATAATATAGTGTTTGTGATTATAGTAAAGATATTTGTTTTTAAGTAATTGAGCTGTCCGTGAACAATATTTTTAAGTAGCACAATAAGAACAACCCATACATTATAATAATATGGTGCATTATATAGTACAAATTGTGCCGTCATTTAAATATTTTGTTTACCCGAAATATTGCCAGAGTTCTATACTTGGGTAAACTTCTAAATTTGCCGAATGACGAGGAAGGTTAGGTTTATTTACTGATAAATATAATTTTCTCGCTCCGTTTGAATAAGGCTATCATTTTAATAGAAACATATTATAAATTTGCATAAATAAATGTATAACTTACAAAGAAATAGACTTATTTTCATGTAATTTAGGTTTTATGTATAAAATACGAATTGTCATTAAAAGTCGCCAAGAAAATCTAAGAAAAATCGAACATTTGACCGCAAATTACTTATTTTTAAGAGTTGTCCATAAAAAATAGAAAATTAATACAAACAATTTTCTAATATTTTTCCAACAGTCAAATAAAACATCCGATCGTACTGTAAAAAAAATGTTTATGGTCAATGACCGTTAATGGGGCACGAATTTCGATCCGTTATGAAGACGGTTTGATCCGTTGGGGACTTTTCAATCCAATAAGAATATTTTATTTTTCTAAAAGGAATCAAAATATCAACGGGAATAATTTGATCTGATTGGGATCACGGTGGTCATTGAAGTAATGACCACAAGACCGGCGATAAACTGAGAAATCATAATCTATTCTATATCATCATTATACGACAGAAAAATAAGAAAATTAATTGAGTTCAAACACTTTAAATATAATATCATATACGTGTTTGAATCCGAATTTGGAAAACTGTTAGATGTTACATTTTTTTTTAACATTTTATTGGAAGTAACTATCTATCCATAATAACGATGCGCTTTCGTTTACAAAGATATGACCAGCTCGTGCAACATACAAAATTTACTCTGTACAAACAAAAATGAACACATTCCTAATAGACTATACAAATGATGAATACAATTAATTAATTAATTAATCTTATAGTTATTAGTAACGCGATAAATGTATATAGGTAATTCAATACTTTGCTCACGACGCCAGAAATTAAATACGCGTTTTTTAAGTACTGATATAGGTATACCTACTATGGACTAGTAATAATATTTTAATAAGGTCAATAAATTGTCAGTCGTCGAGTGAAGTTTATAATAATACAATTATTATATTATCTCGTATATTTTAAGCTTTTTCGATTGTGGGCACGTATATATTATAATCTCGAATGCGATATACGAATAAATAAGAAAGCAGAAAACAAAAAGAAAAAAAAAACCTCGTCCGTCGCGTCGCTCAGTATAAGTGGCAGTCGGCGGCACCATTCGGGCACGTGCACGTTTATATTATTATTTTAGTAAACGTAATTCATAATAGCTAGGCGACATTTTGAACCGGCGGATCAAAAAGTCTTATCAACATGTTCCCGCCGGATTTCATTAAGGGGAGAGGGAGGGTACATTTTGATCTGTTTTGTAAAATAATTATATGTTCTTATCGGATTAAAAACTTTCCAAACCGGATCAGAATGTCCCGTTACCACGACATTTGCAGTTCAGTCCGTTTATTTAACCATATTGATAGTCCGGTAAAATCGTTCACATACATACAATCATATGTTATCCATACATTACTTTTGTGATGAGATATTTTTAATTTGATAATAGTAAAAAAAGTGCGAGATCGCCGGTCATAATATCCAAATTTCTTCTACCAATCACCCGCAGTCACCACCGTATGAACTGGTGCAGATAGATAGATTCGCTGATTATACATTCTGAATTCCTAGATAAAATACTCTATGTATCCTCTATGGTGATTATAGTATAGAAACCATTATTAAACGTGAGATTTGCATACATTTTTTTCCATTTGAGAGACCTCATTCATTTTATTAATTTATCTCATTTTTTCAGAAAACCCAGATTTCTCAATAAATTTATCTCGGCCATCTCACGCATTTCACTTATTCGTTCTGCCATTCGTTGAAAAAAGTTCATTTATATCTCATTCCATTCAGTTTCATTGTTCTTAATTTTTCATAACGACCTTCCAGGTTTGAGATTTAACGATTTCGGTTAGGAAATGTATATTATTTGTTTGAACATTAATTTTTCGTCGTTGTGTTTGCCGTGAAAATATAGTCTACATAGTCTTTACTTTGTAATTGGCCGAGACGCTATCGTGTGGCTTGATATTTTTGACATTCGTTCATGTTGAACATATTTTTCGTTGGACAATTTAAAATTTCGACCGAACACGGTCACATTCGGAATACGACTGAACCGATGAACGAGGCCGCTCGAGTATAGATTATTCAGATTCTTACCAATAAAACTACTAAAATATTAAATTCGGGTATTATGCCACTGAATTATTGAAATTTTATCCGTCCCGTAAAAATGGATAGTGTGTTCGGCTAAAATCAGATCGAGTGTACGTAGGTGAAGCGATTCTTGCGATTCTTTGAAGTTTATTTTTCATTTTTACGCTGCCTTTAACACAATATACATATACGAATTTATATCGATCCATATATTTTCACTGGACGGAGAAGGAGGAGAATATCTACAAACAGAAGCCTTATGAACGGTGTTCGTGATAATATGTAAAGTACATAACAATAACTGCCAATTTCGAACACGGCGCGATGGTTGAAAGTTACACTCGTGCAGTTACTTACGTACATTATTTCTACCGCGGCCGTGAACTTACACTGTTAACCGGGGTTTTTGTGTTTTAAATTTTATTTTGAAAACAGATAGCATGAATGTTATAATAAATATTTTCAGTTTTACTACGTGCGTAAATTGTTTAAAAATGTTTATAATATCATATTCAAATTTCAAATTGTAATTACGACTATTAAACGGTACCCACTACACACATATTATAATATTATTGATTCAATTTATAGATGCCGTTTGCCTTCGATTGATGAAATATTATAATAACCGTTCGTTATAATTGCGTTGGTAAATCGTATTAATTAGTATAGTATTGTCGTTCGTCGTAGTATGTTTATCAATGTTAACAGTGTGCGAATAAATAACAGTGATATAAGCTGTTAAAGAAACCAGTTTCCGTACAAAATAAAAAAAATCATATACCTCTAAAGTTTAGAGAATTATTATTGTAAAGTCTAAACGGTATTACATTGTTTTATTCTATTATTCGTTTGTTTATCACTCGTAATCAATAAAACAAAATACGAAATAGATATTTGTTTTTTACGATTTATCGACACCTAACACTCGATTCAGAGTAAGTATATTATTTATAACGTACGTATTTAGTGTTACGAACTCGTCAAGACGACGATTATTGCGAAACACGCGAACTAAATTTATTATTTACATCGAGATTGTAATGAACGTGGGTATATGACATTGGATTGTGTGGATAAATTATAAAAAGTCTCAATATGATTTCCCAAACAATAGAGACGGCTTTTGTACCTACTGTATTATATTATTGAATATAATAATATATATTTGTAAGTTGCATGTGCTTGAAATTTAAGTCTAAGGAAGTTTAGCAGTTGAAAGAATCGATTTTTATGTCAACCAGTTACGCAACTAGGGGGAATTTGGGGGTTATACCCCCCACCCCCCGAAATTTAAGATTTTATTTACGAATTCTATATTTATTATGTACATACGATATGTAGTACTATATTGCAGCGATCACAAACATTTTTTTGTAATTTTGAATACGCGTGTACGCGTCGTCGTTTCATTTTAATAACTTACTAAGTATAGGTTAGGTTAGAGGTTTTACTGAAAAAAAAAAAATCTGTTAAGAGTATATTATTTGCAATTATTCATAACGACACATTTTTGTTTGTTTCGATGAAAGTATCGCCGTGTCGATCGAGTAGGCGAACGTTTTGCGTTATTCTTATATTTATAAACCGGCAATGATGAATTACTGGTGCATGTAGAGCAACATATTGTATACTATTGCGTCGTAGCCATTTGCAGTTGCGAGGTGCAGTTGCAGTTTGTATATTGTAATAGTATACTGTAAAAATTATGCACTACTACTACCTACTCTACTATAGTGGCATGTGTCGTCGATTGCAGGGCGATGTTTTGGATATTATGTACTTGCTATATTATCTACTTGCTTCTGACGAGCTTATAAGTCTTCAATCGTTTTCGCCGACTCACCGCGATATTTTGTAGCCTACCTATTAAATATTCACCCATATAATACGGTGGACTACTCAATGATTGACAAGACTTCTGTTTGCTCAGTCTTTATTTGCCCCTCGACTGGACGTAAAATATATAGCACTTCGATGTATTGTATTTTGAATGTTCCAACAAATTATATTTATTTCGAAAACGGTAGTTGTATTCTGTTGAAATTTACTACCGTTCAATCTTCTGTTTTATGTACGACTCTTTTTAATGTTTTCAGTCACGTTTTTGTTTTTTTTTAGTATTCGAATATCACTGTGTAAAACTTAACGACTCGTTTAATGTTCTAGATGAATTCGATTTTTTTTTTATCTACAGATATCAGGTACTGTGTGAAAAAAAAATTATCTTGTCCTAAATAATTAACTGTATTTCGGTATCTACAATAATTTAATCAAAACTAATCATGACATAACAAACACGTTATATTTTGATGTAGATTCGACATTCGGGTGTTGCACACGTAAATGTGGATACATATAACGACAAATATATTACCGCATATTATATTATTATTTATTATCGATAAATTATAAATGTTATTATAATGTGTTGTATATAGGTATGACCTTTATAATTTCGTATTGGGAATATAATGTTTATTGTTAGACGGTACTCGAAGAAATTTTATTATTTCCGTGGGTTTTTAGGTTTATTCGGTATTTGTTTTTATTCATATTTATTTTTTAATATGATAATTCGATCTTTGCCATGGTAAATATTTAAATTGTCGTATTGCCTAACAACACGTGAGATCGTTACAGATACGTCACATTGCGCGCGTTTTAAATTATAATAATGATATTTAATTATGATATTCCGTAAGAAACATCAGTGATAATTGTCTCGATACTAATACAGTTGTTATATTGTGTGTTTTTTTTTTTTTAACGATTAAGTCAAATTCAATATAAATATTTATATTTATGTTATTATTACGATGATAAGCAGCGTGGTTGTGTGTTTATAAGTGAGGCGTTTATCATTTTTGTTTATGTCCTAATATGGGCCATATAAAAAATTACATTACTCGTAGAATAAAAATTGCGGCAGTTAGGTTGAAATTAGATTAGCCAGAGACGCTGTGTACAGGGGGGCCTCGGGTCTGCAGCCCCTCATGAGCTTGTTAAGACGGAGTTCATCCCCCCACGGTTCTCATATTATAAAAAAAAAGTCAATATTTGTCATGTATATCCTCAAAATACTAATTATTTTATTTATAACAAATTAATTGAGAAAGATGAACGGTTTTTTTTCTGATATTGATAGTAGAGAAAAAGTAGATTTTTCATGGTTTTATTATTAAAATGTTAATATTATAACATATAAAACAACAAATAACTATATTTCAGTAATTATTGTTTAACAAATAATTTAAGGAAAATAAAAATAGGACATATTTTGGTAAGATTTAGGTAAAACTGTACATGTGTTTATAAAATAGAGGGCCTTCCCATGACAATATGACATTTTCAAAACCTGGCACCTCTGCAGTTAGCGAAATATTAAAAGAGGATAATATCAAGGGCTGTTTTTCTAAAATATTGTCAATCAAAATATAAATAACACAAACAGAGGGGTGAATGATGTAAAAGAAAATTAAATGGTAAACCCCGCTTTTCACTTAGGTTATTTATCGGTTTACCATCTTCCGTGTGAATGGAAAATTATTAAACATTATAAAATACTTTCCAGTCCTGCGCGGAACCTCTTCTCCGGAATACGAATATATTTTTCAATGTTTAATACGAACAAGGTAGCTCGGGAAGTATTTCGTCGATGATGTTAGGAGAGCGCACGCGCGTGTGTTCTCATCAAATGTTTATTAAATATTTTAACATCTTTTATTTATTTATCAATGATATTTATTTGATATACATAATAATATGAAGTTATATAATTTATATATATATATATATATATATATAATTGCACGACTAACGAATTAAAAAAAATTGAATAATCGCTAATAACTCTACTATAATATATTTGGCCAATGAGGTTATGATTACGGGGATATTTTTTAATAATTAATTTGTAATTTTGTGAACTTGATGACACTCATCATTTTTATTTTGCTTCCTTTTATAAATAGACGTAAAAGGGCCCATACACGCTCAGTTTATCTGTCAGGTTAACTGTGTGACGTCAAAAGATTAACTGTGGTAACTGTGCAGTTCTATCCGAAAAAACGTGAATTATTTGGCGTGAGCTCCGTGACCTCAGTCCTATCTGGTTAACTGTACGACAAACTGAGCTATAGCTACACTCGTTCATTTTTTTCATCAGGCGAGGATTCAGATAAACTGAGCGTGTATAGGCCCCTTAACACTGCGCGTTCCCCATGTTACCCGTGCCTTAGGTTTTGTCTAATGTAAAAGTGTTATTAGAGAGATACACGATTGGATTAAGAGGGAATTAGGAGAAGGTTACAATTTTTCGCGTACATTATTTTTCGTAAAATGGCCAAATCAAAAGTATATTTATAGCTCTCCTTGTCCTCAGGCTATGACCGTAATCCTGTCCTGGAAAGCGATATAACCGATAATCCGAGCGTTTACCTGTAGCTTGGGTCAAAAATGCCAATGCCTCTTTTTGGTGAAAATGAGTTTTACGACTAATCAATTTTCTATGTTTTTACTAGCGGTAAAAGGGGGTATCTCAGTAATAATTATTGTGAAATTTGAGAAGACCAATGTTAGGTTAGATTAGTAGAAAAATTACTACTGCAATATCAAAAAGGGCCGAAAATATGTTTTGTTATTAATTTCCCAAAATCGATTAAAACTGAAATTGGCCCTTTTTGACCCTAGCCCCAGATATATATATATATATAGAACTTAAACTGAATAACGTATATTATGTTAACCAACGGACTTTACCTCACTCCGCTATATCATATCGTGTATGCTACCGATTTCGTCGTTTTTTCTCTATTTTTTTTTTTTTTTTTATCTTTTTAATTATTATAGGCCGTGTAATACATAACGCGTGTAGTACAACGACTGCGATACACGCGGGGCGATATCGGATATGTTTATTATGTAACGCGGACTATATGCGCAGCCGAAATCGAGCGGCCAAAACGCGTCACAATCCATATCGAATGCGCCGTACTTGACGGAGGTCTGAGACCGCGGGCGCGCGATTGACGTAAATGCGCCTCGAGTGCGATTAACGTCTCGGGTATCTCGCCGCGAGAACTTCAAATTTGTGAAAATCGCAACGGCCCATGACCCAGGAGAAATCGCGCGCGTACGTGTGTTATCGTCGACGCGTTGAAATTCCGAATCTCGACCGTGTGTCACATGGCGTTGCGTAACGCGCGGGCAATTATTAATTTCGGCGTTTGAACAGCGCGATGTAATCGATTTATCGTCACGCGCATTATAGGTGTACAGGGTGTAACAGGACTGTTTGCCAGTTTTGCACTGGAGTTACGCGCCCTACAGACGTAATTCGGGCGCGGGGACGTATCGCAAAAGACCCGCGGTGTCGTCGAAAAACGCGAGGAACCGCCTCCGGTTTCGCAATAGCGACCGGACCACGTGCGCAATATTCGACAGTATATAATAATTCGTTTCGATATAGGAACGCGCCTCTGCAACGTACCCATTATAATACGGCTGTTCGCGATAAAATAACGTCCTTGGCGACGGCCCACGGGCACGGAATATAACGTTTGCGTCCTTCAACTTGTATCATCACGTAACGCGGGGTCGCCGGAAAAAACGAAATAAAAAAAAATCACGCCGCTGCCAGAGGCGTCCGTCTTCTTCTCCCGCACAACAATGCGTTTCTTCTTCTGTTTTTTTTTCTCCGTACGCGTTTTCGTTCGACGGCTACAACGACAGCCGCACATCACCGTACGCATATTTCTCCGACGTGTTTCCGACGATCTTCGCGGCGCGGCGCACGCGAGAGGCCGGCGCGCGTCGCGTTTTCTCACCGAATTACGGAGGGGACGACGGGCGATTGCATCCATATTTTCCCCGATTTTGAAAAATTTGGAAAAAAAAAATTTTACATTTTAACAAACACCTCGGCGATAGTAGTAGATTAGTGAACTAATCTACTGCCCGATGTGTCCGTGTATGAGTGGAAGTGGATCCGCCATTTTTACGGACTAGTATGCAATTTTAGTCTGAAAAACCAGACTTGTAGGGATTTAGATTTAAAAAATGTATTATCATTCTGTAGGTTCGAATACTTGGGAATACGATAGATTTTATTTATTTTTTTTTTTAAATTTGAATTCCCTTTATCATAATATCGACGGTGTTTTGTTAAAAGGCCGTATACCACTAAAAATCGAAAAATACGTTTTTGGTATCAAAACAATCAGAAAAATTAGGAGCATAAACTGGTATTTAAATACAGAAAAAATCAAGTTGATAATGTCGATTAAAATATATCTTGGCACCCTTTTAAGATATAATTAATTCAACATTAATATGTTTAAAGGGCGTATACCACATTCAATGCGTGTATACATTGTGGTACAAGGTTGAAGGTATTATGTGTACGAGTATATTGTTTTCCATGATAAATACCATTAAAAACGATTTTGCGGTTGTTTTAGCGAAACAGTTTTTTTGCTTCCTGAAAAAAAGTGATATTTGATGACGCCCTTTTAACAAAACACCGTCGATATGTAAACGGCGAAATACATAAATTACAGATTTGAAAATTTTTAAAAAATTAAATTGAATTGTTGTTTTTCTTCAGTTTTTATGTTATGTGAATAAATTGGTCTTGGCTGTACTGAAATGTTTGAACATTCAACACAAAGTACATCATTAATTGTTGTACACGGAAGTGAAAATAAGTGTAGTGTTTTTTTTTTCGAACCTTTTTTAACCTATCCTGTTTTCTTCGACAGCCCTGATGATAATAATTACTATATCTGGTAAAAATTCTCGAGGAAAAAACGTTTTTTTTTCTTTTATTTTATTTTTCAGGCTACGGGGTTCGTAATAATGCGACATACGTTTATCGGTACATGCACGTACGCGTACACCTATACGGCATACGCATTGCATATTGCACTGACCAGACCTAATCAATTATATTAAATCGATATCGAATTATTCAACGGTGTATTGTGACATTGCAGCCAATATAGTGTATCTTCTATTGTTGAAAAATATTATCATTTATATCACGTGGCCTTTTAGTACGAAAATATTGTTATTATTATGTTAAATGTCCGTAGTCGGTGTGACGCCGATGATGAGTCGATTATAATAATACGGTATCACACGGTGCACAGCCTTATGACATTAAATGCGTGTCGTGTTCGTAAATTTAACGCAGATACTATTTCTGTTTTGGTTACAGGCCTGTATTGAATGTCGTCGGCGCCGGAGACGCTCAGCTCCAGTCGCATCGTCATAACCGCAGTGCCATCGTCGCCGACGTCGCCGTAGTCCTTGTAGTCACGGAGACGGAATCCACAGAGGAAATAATCACCTGCAACCGACCGCCCGAACCGCAACCATGGTGAGTACTGACACCCGTATCCACGTATCGTACTCCCTTAAAATCGCACCTTTGCGCCGTGCCTCGAAATTCGGCTGCACTTTTCAATTAGATAACAGTATACAATGTCAACCTTTTTTTTTTTGTTTTTAAAGCACACTGTGTAAAATTATACCGCATTAAATCAAAATGTGACAGTAAAGTATACTGTGATGACTGTATAATCAATAAAATCCACAGTAAAGTTAAATTTTGCCGATTAAAAATATATTTCGATATCGCAATGTACAACGCTTTTAAAACGCATAAAACCGTGAAAGTGTCGGACCGAAATACCCTAAACACTATATTTCGGTTCAAATTTGAAATAAATAATTAGTTTTTCTCAGAACTACAAATTTAAAGAGGCGACCTTGTTACAAGGGTATATACGTACTTACCAATAATTATACATATATATTTGTACATGCTTCCGATAATTTTCCGGTTTACAAAAATGTTCCTGAATTTTTTTTCTCCGTAGGTTTGTAAGCGTTTAAAGTTAAGACCATATACACGAATCTACAGCAATTTTCCACCAATAAAATTAAATACTCTGTTCCTCCAATGCACACATCATTTTCGTCGCGTTATCGAAATAAAAAACTGTTACCATCTTAATACAACACCCTTTATCAGTGGCGCAACAAGGGGTTTAGGATTTGGTTTGGGGTTTTTTGTAAATTGTTCAAAACCAATATTTGATTATTAATCAATTTTAATAAATAAAAACATTAAGACGTCCTAATCGTGTATAGCAGTGTGTAACCAGCTATAAACTGATTTCAATATTTGAAGAAAAATATAGGCATGATTTTGATACAAAGAAATCGTTGGAGAAAAACGAAAAATACATTTTTAAGAAGGTAGGAGGAAAACAATTCCAACCAATGTTATAGTCGCGTGTTGCCAACAATTCGGATTAACTGAAACATTCCTCGTTGAGTGAATAATGTGTACTGTTTTATTTGAAATCTATTGATCTCACTATCTATACTGCATATTCAGAGGTAACGAATAAAAACTAAAAACTAAAATCCTATTAGTACAAATCCACAATACATTTGAATTAAAAATATTTTTTTTAATTATTGTTTTGGTCACGTACACGTTATTTTATAAGCCCAAAACGGGTTATTTATAGAATCACTGCAGTTCATCGAATTTTGTTTATGGAGTAGTTATCGTGAGATTTTTTGTCCTAAATAAGTATAAAAAATAAAGGTACCCTTATAATTTTATAATAATTGATATAAATTAAAAATATATTATACACTTTTGTACCCTGAAAATAAAAAGGTAGCCCATGAGATTTAAAAAAAAAAAATTGTCGTCCTTTACAATGATTTAACTCGACCTAACCCGTAGAAGAAAAATTCGTTCATCCCCCATCCTCTTATACCACTTTTTAAACACCATTCAATAACTTGAAAAAAACCAAAAACCTACCATAATAAATACTCCTGGCAAAGTATTTTCTTGCAGTATTTAGCTGTATTTTTGGTTTTTAGACCTTAGTTTAGATATATTTCCACTGTGTCCATCCGTCCGTCGTATGCAAAATAGTATATGAGCTGCTTATCCCTTTGCCCTTTTATCTAATTTGGGCTCTGTGTATAAAAAATTATCGATTTTGAAAACACGTATAAAGGAAAATTTTCAAATACATTACATTTAAAATAGTATCAATGAAAATAAATTATGAACTTTTAAATTACGAGGGAACTATTACTGTTTCGAAATTGACCATTAAAATGTTATATTAGGTAATACTATCATTTAAGTCTGACTTCTTAATGAAAAGTTTTTTTTAATTGGAATTTATTATTTGATTTTCCCATGTTATGGCTTTAAAATAATTTTTTTTTTTTTTGTATCTCTGTTAACAGTCTGTAGTATTCTGCGTGTAGGCACTTGCTCGGCTACGATTTATTTGTTGAATATTTTTATACGGGTTGTTTACATAGATGATAAAAAATGGATAGGCTATATTGGTATTCAGACATTCCTAAATATTCTATCTGACACACGAATAATGGGTGCAATCAATTGTTACTATACCCGTGGCAACAGGAAAACAATTCACGGAAGAAAGGTCAATTTATTGGTGAGTATGGTAGAAGATGTGATTTTGCAGATAATAATTCTATATATCTTTTTGATTCGGGAACACTGCCCGCTAAGTGACACATGGTATACGAGATGGTATCGTACTCATGTCCATCCACTCATGTCCTATCCATTATGCGATCTTAATGATAATTTTACCATTATGCTCGTATTATTACATACAGTTCAGTGGTGATATTTTTTAGCGAATATCCATCGGATGACGACTCCCCGTCCCTTAAAAAATCGCCACGAGCAGATAGACCGAACCTCCCCTGAATTTTTAAGATTTCCTCAGGTACCCTTCCCCCCCGTTAAAGTATTTACTATATTTCTATATAAAACACAATATTTGGTTACAAAATTGACTAGTTGAATAGTTTACCGTTTATTTTCTAGTGGACACTCAGTAAGAATAAAAAATCTTATACACAACTGGGTGTCCATTTTGACACAGAAAACCTCATTAAAAAATATCTTACACAATATGTAAGCAACGCCCTCTGCACTTGAAATTTCGAAGCGATTTAAATACTACACACACAGTTATGTTTTATTTAGTGGTGAGCCGATCTGACATTCTTTCGATATCGGATATCCCGATATTTTCTACCGATATAAATCCTATATATTCGATTCCATACTTGAAATCAAAATTCATCATATGTTGGTATTGAAATTAATCGCTACATCACTCGAAAATCATATTTTTTCAAACGATTTTTGAATTCCAGATACATTATTAGAGACGTTTTTTTTTCTCGAAGATATCTGTTTTGAATAAAAAAAAACCGATAAGTCGATATCGATGTACGACATCGAATTATGTTGATGCTCATTGCTCACTAGTAATTTTTTTACGCACTTATTATTTTTGTGTACATTTTCGTCGGAATGTGAGAGGAAGAGATTAAACATTTAATAGTATGTGTCCTCCTCGTGAATTCAACAATACAATACAACAATAATTATTACTATATTGGATATCGAATTTATCTTTTGTCTTGTTTTGGTGCTTGACGAGGTTATCACCACGACAAACTCCGTATTAATTTGTACTCATAAATATATAAATACACGTACTCGAAATAATTAATTTAATTTAAATCGATCGTTTGAAACTCAGAGGCTCCAATTAATTATTATTATTATTATTATTTTTATAATCGCCTCCTGACCCTCGTTTAACGAATTTCTATTATTATAGATTTTTATGCGTATTTATCAGACCCAATGATTTACGTTTTCTTCAATGACGTTTCAAGAAAGTACAAAGTAATAATGAAAACACTAGTTATAGTTTTGTTTAGTTTTGTTTTCACGCCCGTACTTCATATACCAGATGATTTATTCAAATTATATTTTTTTTAATTATCCGGTAAATATTCGTACTATTTTGGCCTTAGTCGTTTTTAAAAATGAAAGAGCCCATTCAATAACCTGGTACGTCGATCCCTTTTCTTTTAGTATAAAAAAAAAAATAAGTTTACATGTGCCTTTATTAGTATCCGAGTTTTTTTTTTTGAAAAACAATTTATTAGTTAGTAAAAATGATCTGTTTTTTACGCAGGAAGTATCTTAAAAAATACGCTCTTTTCTAATGGTGGTAATTTATTATGTAAAAAAATTTGTGTAGATTTTCTAGTTGTTGTTCTTAACAATTTAATAAATCGACAATAACAGATAACTATTTATATTTGTTGATTTCTGGATTAAAATGGGACTTTGGCTACAAGGGGGAAAAAAGCTCGACTAATATTTTGTACCATTTACCGCCCTCAGAATCGTTTTTTAGTTTCATTTATTTCAGCTTTCAATCTACATTATTCTTTATCTTCCAAACTTTCCATCTGCAAGTTACAACAGTAATTTAATGACCCATAGTACACGGAGTATTGTAAACAAATATATTATTATCATTAATATGTACATCTATTTTTTTAAATCGCATTTACATATACGAATTAAAAATATCCATTAACTTTCTACAAAATGTAAAAAAAATGTCGGAACAATAACCCGGTATATTTTGAACGTAATTATAATTGTTCTTGCGTCGCCGATTACTTTCAAATAAATTTCCTAACTATTTGTATAAAATAAATACGTTTCAAAAAAATGTGTATTTCCATTGTTCTTTATATGTTATGATAGTGTTAAGCAATTTTAAACGATAATAGTTTCAACTTAATATTTCCAAAACAATTTTTTTTTGTCTCCTGAACATTTTTAAAAAGCGAACGCACTATTCGGTTGTTGAACCGGATAATCTGATTTTCCCTTCAAAATTGTAATACAATAATTTTCTGTGATAAAAACGAAATTAAGAATACTGTATAAAAACTAAACTAAAAAAAATAAAAGATTAGGAAACGAAATAATTCTGTAGACATTCTGAATTGTTCGCACATTTATAAAACAAATGAAAAACATATTCTCGTACAACAGCAGTGTACTCATATTATTATCGATAACAATTTTTTTACAGTATCATAATATTTCTATTCTTAACGAGTAAAAAAATGCATTATTGTTGAAAACGATTAAACATTTTGTTTAGATTCTATCCGAACGAGAGTTTTGTTTAATTAAAATAACTAACAAGCTAGACAATGTGTGTAGTTTTTTCTCGGAATCCATCAGTCGTTTTCCTTGTCCGACGCACGTGAACGGGTCAAATTTCGAAACGTCGCGGTCGTAGTTCGGTACATAAAACGCGAGATGAATATGACGTGTTGAATACGATCCAAATAGTTTTGTAGGAGTAAAATACGTCTTTTTTCGGTTTATATCAGGAAATATTCCACTATCTCTCTCATTCTCTGTTTCTTAGTGTCTGTCCTACGGGACGTATGCAAAACATCATATTCTAATAAGGCGACGACGACGTCCAGGTATGAAATTCGTCAATAGTTCCGACTTGTCTACACTGATAATAATAATTAGGGTATCTATTTTTAAACGGCGAATTGTGCGTTTACAACTATACCGCCGCCACAGTCGTCTGCCTCTGCTGTATACTGTCCGTCTGTGCGGTTTGTTGAGACGTAAGCGTTTTTATTTGTTAATTTTTTTTTTTTTTTTGTCTCGATTTAATACAATCGTATTTGTCTAGCGACGTGACGGAGGGAAAAATAATAAAACAAATAACTCCATAAATATCTATATGTACTTAATATGCAAGAGCATCGTTTTTTTTTTCTCTATTCTATTCCGTTGTTATTTTACGTAATAGGTAAATAACCACACGCGAGTCCGCGGTGTAGATAAAGCACGTTTCCGTAAATATTTCCACTCCTACTTAAACAACAATCATAATAATAATAATAATAATATAGAAAAAAAAAAATCTATTATAGCTAAACCCACCTAGGCATAGATACTTTCGGCTAAAATTTTCGCGACGGAACCCGCGACGCATAGGTCTTGCGCGTGTCCGCAGTGAATTCGCGACAGTTGCAAAAGTACAACATATTATATAGGTAACTAAACAAACAAACAAAAAAATCTTCGGAAAGCACAAAAAATAAAAAAAAAAAACAAATCCGTCCGTATACACCGCGTGTTAATTAATGTCATCAAGTATTTAATCCGTTTACGAACCGGACTAACAGGTCGTGTAGAGTTTATACAGTATCCGTTCGGTATCCCCTCGGCTCGTCGGCGTGTAAGTATACAAGTCTTCGGATCCTTTTTCTGAAAAAACTACATTTTCAATTGTCTCTCTTTCCGATATACCAATTCAAATCCCGGATGTGCATTCGCTTATACGGATAATTTCATTATGTATATAATATTACAGTGGTCGCAGTACGGGCGATTCGCTTATAGACGATGCGGTTTATTTTTAAAGACGAGTATTATTTTCTGATGGTCGGCCGAATAACTTGTCAACGATCCACCGTTTTTTTTTCTTCCTCGTCTCCCTCTCGTCACTTCTCGTCACTCCTCGTCACCGTTATACGCATACACATACACACACACACACACACGCACCTGTTGTAGGGTATTATGCGCTATATAAAGTCCGTCTGGTGTCTCCGAATTGTTATTCCGGGACCCGTTATTGTCATTTTTAGTTCGGAAATCGGGTCGCCATCCACGAGGACCATCAAAATTCACCTCGTAAAATCGTCCGCGTTTCCGTAAAAAAAAAAAAAAAAAAAACAAATCATATATATATTTTAAATAAATTCTAGAGATATTATAAAATCACCGTCGCGTTTCCATTTTTTTTTCGCAGGATTCGCAAACCGACGATCAACAGGAACTCCAAACGTTCCTACCAGAAGAAAAATCCAAGATGAAAGACGCGCCGCAGTCGCCGTCGCTAAACAAGTGAGTGCCGCGATAAGTTATTGGGGATATTTTTTTAAATATTTCACATGTTATTATTTTATTTAAACACACGTATCAGGATGTTCACCGGTTAGGTTACAAACGGGGTTTGATATAAAAAATATTTTTAGTTGAACAACAAATAACTTATTGGCAAATTAAAACGTATGTTCTTACATAAAATAAAAGTATATAGTATGATATAAACTTTTCGAATCGCTAGGAGAAAAAAAAGAACAGTAAATGTCTATAGTCATAATATTTTAATTTAGCGCGTGTATCGCGCTATGACGTTATCCGTCTGTACGATGAAATTATATAAAAAAAATACTATTGGACGTTTTTTAACTAGTATTACGAACGGTTCAAAGAATTTCCTACAAGATATGACCATAGTGAAATAAATTATAATTTGAACCAACATACGAGTATCACATCATTTATATCATCACGTTGTCATATTTATAAAACATAATAATAATAATAATAATAATAATTTTAATAACGATACGGTATTTTATCGTCATTTGTTGATAGTAGTTTATGGTCAAGTTGTAACGTATTAGTTGATGAATTTACTATTTTAAGTAGGCACTAATTTGCACTCTCTTTGATTGCTATTATATTATATGCGTTCATTCAAAATCGTTTGTATTCAAAATTCTATAAATGTTTGAAACTAGATTTATCTTAAAACGTTATTTCCATTTAAATTTAGATTTTTTAGTTAATAATCATATAGGTATGAACAATTTATCACGGTGAAACGTTCAGCTCCGCAGTTACAATAGGTTATGTTATTGTTGCAATTGTTTGATATATTATCGTCTGAAACAGTGTATTATTATTTGACTTTTTTTTTTTTATTCGGTATAAATTTCGATTGGATCCAACAGGGAATATTAAGGATATAAAGATAAACGTTAACGATGGTCATATATATATGTCTCATTACATTATAGTTGTGAAAGTTTATTCGGATGTTTAGATATTTATCGCACCTGTAAATAGCGAAAATAGGCTATTTTTCCCCTACCGCGAATTCAACCCCTAAAAGTGGGCTGACATATGATTATCGGTATTTTTAGTACGAGAATCGAATATATTTTGTTTACTAGGTGATACGAACGATATTCGAAAAAAACTAAAACAAACAAATTAATAATAAAGTAGTCCGTGTGTAAGGACCGTAATAGTTGTCGCGAGAATACCCACATTAGTTACCATAGAAACTGGTTATCCATATAATATAGTTGAATGTTCATTTGCAACGAGCATCTTATCGCTGAATCTATAGCATAATGATAATTTGTCTATTACCTATTTCTTTTGGAACGCAGGACGGAACAGTCGTTAGGAAATCACAGACAAGACACGCATAAGGGAACTTACAGGTAAGACGACGCGATAAACCTATATTGGCTATATTCTTTTTGTAAAATTTTCCCGAAAATAACAACTATTGCACTGTAATGCGTCTATTATATTATTTACCTGGAGTGTAAACCGACTAATGACCGTTTGGGCAATACCGCAGGGTTCATAAATTTCAATTTTTCACAGTAGTAGGTACTTCTTTCATATTTTTTTTTTTTTTTTCAAATATTACAAAATAACAATAAAATAATTATTATTATTCTAACATAATTAAATATATGATTAGATTTAAGAATTCAAAAAATCGATTCCTTTAATTATAAATATCTGACAAAAGTATATTTGTTTATTTTTTGCCAATATTACATAGGTACTCGTGTTATATTACAATATTCGCTGTGCTCGGTAATAATTTGGAACTTACTTACCGTGAAAACTTTTAATTTATAGACACTGCGGTTTTGTCCAAATGAGGTTGGTCACTACTAGTTTTATCCGCGCAATAGTCGTAAAATGATTTCTCAGGTTTATCCTATTTCGACTTTTGTTTGTAACATAAAAAAAAACGTGTTTTAGTGTTTTAGTTTTGCATATCTAAAAAGTGGGGCAACTCTGCTCGTGAGCGGGCCATTGTTGTAGGTGAGAATTTGGGAAGATAGTAAAGGGAAAATTTAATGTATATCTATAAGCAACTATAAACCATTGCTAACGGATCTGAATGCCGAGTGGAGTTCAGTTGATAGTGTTGCTTCATGCACGTTATATTGTGGTAAAATAATTACATGGGCAAAATATATTTCCTTTAATAATATTTGTTTAATATTGTATCTATCTTCCTGGTTAACTCCACTCAGAATTGTTTTTTTCGTTAGCAATGGTTTGGTTCTTGCATATAGATATACATCAAATTCCCTTCTGTGTCTTACCTTCCACCTTCAACTTATCACCTATAACAGTGGCTGCACATACGTGCGAAGTATGTCCGTCTTTTTCAACTAATACATACATTTCGTATATTTTCCCGTTTTTCTTCCGTTTTTTTCTAATTTTTGCAAAAGTTTCTGCTCAATCCGTTTAGTATTTTGGGGAAAATATGAAAACAAACATACATCCATTCACACAAACATTAAAAACTTTCGCATTATATCCATAATACCAATAAGACATATTATTTTTCGGTACATTTAGACACTTCTGGCGGTCCCTCTGGATCAATATAGATCGAACTCGGACATTTTTTTTATAGTTAGACTGAAAATTTTACTGAATGATTTGGTTGAATTACAGTATGAACTTCACCGTGTTGTCGTCGCGGGAGGAGAGTGGTTTTTTACCTTTGCTTTTTACCTATAGACCTTTCAAATGAAGCCCCCTGGGTGCAATTTTGTATATGCATGGCGTAAACGTCAAAGATGTGCCTTTTGGTGGTATCAATATTTATTCCCTCTTCAACCATTTTTATGCTCAGATTTCCCAGGTTTTAATCACTCTTACAGACTTACGAAAGTAAGTAATTTGGTTAAAATATGTATATATAAATAGTATTGAAGGAAGATGTGACTGCAGTCTGTTGTAGTTTTGACTTCCAATCCCCGACTCCACCGTATGTTAGGCTGCTAGCAAAATTTACCAAAACTAGATCGCCTATTTCGATAACACTTTTTGTTTAACTTATTAAAAAAATATAGAATTACTGATTCAAGTAGTTTCGGGTTAAGCCATCTTCAGGTTATAAAAATAAAATAAAGAACTTTCTGAATAAAATTAAAATATGAAAAAAAAGATTACCATTTAGGAGGGTAGAAGTGGTTAATAGGCGTCAATATTAAATACAAATTATAAATAAATACTAATTCGGATAATAATTTAGATTAATTATAAAAAAAAAGACGCCCTAGGATAATGGAGGCGGGTGCGGCCACTGTTATAGGTAATTTAATGTACATCTGTAAGCAACAATAAGCCATTGATAACGAAAAAACGATTCTGAGCGCAGTTCAGTTGATAGTGATGTTTTATCAACAATATATATGTAATATTATGGTAAAACAATTAAATAGGTATTATATATTTTCTTTAATAATATTTGTTTAATATTTTACCGATTTTCTCGGTTTTTGGTATTTGCTAGGAAAACTCTTGGGAAAATCGAGAAATGTTTTTTACTACAAAGTAGTAAAATGAAGACTCAATGAACCTTTTTTTACATTTTGTAGCATTTTTGTTCAAGTCAACAATTTTACCACAGAGTATCTACCGAATAAAAATTACGTACAAAACTTTTAAAATTACAATGTTTATAAATACCTCAAAAATGGCTCGAAAATTTTATCTAGTTCAGAAAAGGCAAATATGAGTTTTCTGTTCAAATTTCAAGTCTCTACGAATATTTTAAACTAAATTGCAACAAATAACAAAATCGAAAAACAACAAAAGCATTATTTTCGTGAATTTCTCGTTTTTCTTTCGTTTTTCCTGGTTTTTCCCAAAATTATGAAAACCGCATGGAAAATTAAAAAATGACCTAAAAGTACCATCTGGACAACATCCCCTTTCAGAAATAGTGCCGCGCGTAAATATCTGAGCAAGATTTCTGATATAATTTGTTTACACAGTATAAAAAAAGAAAACAAACATCTAAGTAAAACCAATATATTTTTCGCTACACTCAGAATCTAAAAAAAAAAAATAAAATATATGAAATACTATAACGACAATTGAATTAGCTGAGAGAAAACTCTATTCTAATACGGAGTTCTGCCGCTCATGATTTCTTTTCGCGTATGTTTTTTATTCAGGTCTTCGTCAATGAACGCCATATTATAATATCCACTCGTTCGTTTAAAATAAAACAATATAGTAGTGACTATTCTACATAACTACAGTAATGCGGTTACAATAAAAAAAAAAAAAAAAAACATCGCGACCGATGACCGGTTTATTAATATTCTGTCTAAGCGTTTCAAAAAGGCGTTTGTCGACCGCGCCAGAATCGATTTATAATGTATACGTATATACAGTGTGTGTCCGAAAGGATTTGTTAATTTCCTACGTAATTATCGAATGAGAAGTAGTGAAATCAGCTCACACTCTGTGTACAATCGATTTCGGCGCCGGTGTTTATGCGAGCAGTACATTATAATATTATACTTAGATTAATTTTGCGCCGGTCTGTAGTGATTCATTAACGATTTTTTTTTTTTTTTTTTTGTATTTTGAAACGGCGTACGCCACCGCCGCCGCCGCCGTCGCGTCGTTGACGATTATATTACGATTCAATTACTGTCAATTTGCCGTCGGTTATGTTGCGGCCTTGAGACCCGTTTAGTGTGTTACGAGAGTTCGGTTTTGATTCGGGAAAAAAGTTGAATACGCACTTTTGCCGCCGATCAATTTGGCGTCCGATTTTCACCGTTAGTTTGACGTCAGTATTGTCAGTGTAGTATTCCCTCCCGGCACAACAAAAGCACTCGACGGTGTTATATGTCGAACAAAAAAACACTGTTTCCGGCGTTAACGATTTCAATAGTGAACAACTATTACGACACGTCGTCCGTAACATACATAGTTAGGGTTAGGTAAATGATTAAATATTCGCGAAAAAAATAAAAGAGTCGATACTGGGGACGGGAGTGGCCACTGTTGTAGGTGACAAGTTGAGAAGGTAGGATACATAAGGTTGTTTCAATTATATCCGTAAGCAACGATAAACCATTGCTTGACGAAAGACGACTCCGAGCCCAGTTCGGTAATACATAACTTGATGTGCCGTAATTTGTTTTATGATTTTCGTTTAAATTTGATTTCAAAATGTTTTTTAAAAAAAAAATAAAAAGCTGTTCGGTGATTTTGGAAATTTTACCACCTCCAATATAAGTATTGTTACCATGTCTCAAGTCTCTACGTGTATATATAATCGAATTATAGCAAAAAAAAAGCCCAAAAATTAAAATTCATTAAAAGCTCCAAAGTTTTGGCGTTGACACCGTAAGAAAGTAAATCAAAAAGGCAACAAAAAAGGTATCTTGTGATTTTTCCATTAAATTATTTTTTTCTGGTAGAAAACGTCGTCCGTATTTTTATAAAATAATGAAATCGTGATATTGTACGTTTTCCTACGTTTTTTTCCCATGTAAGTGCTTTTATTTAAAAAATGGTATCGAAAATCAAAAAAATGATATTTTTAAAGTAAAATCTAGACAGCTTGAGCTTTTAGAAAATGTGCTACACTTATACATCGGAGCAAGTTTATTAGGAAAATACGTGTCAACAGACTAGAAAAAAAAAAGGAATAAACATCTTAGTAAAACCAATAGCTCTCTGAAATCAGAAAAAAACAATTTTGAAATTTGAATATAGTTTATATATAATCACCGAGAAACGAATTTATATCTAAGGATTTATGTAATAGAACAATCTAAAGAAATATACAGACTGTTGTTGGCCCGGCGTTATAAACAAAATTAATCAACAAAATATTTGGAAGAAAACAAACACGGCAACGTATACAAACATAAAATAATATTATATAGGTCGTAATATTATATAGGTCAATCGCGTGGGAATTACTTTCTGGCAGTTTTTATGTTTACTTCGATAGAGACATTAAATTATTTTTTTTATATTCCACGTGGTCTACAACACTTGTTATCTTGACTCTGCAGAGCAGATGATTTTTTTTATTGATTTTTTTTTTTCGAATTTCGTGTAAAATCGACTCAGGTACACAATGTATGTTAACAATCCGAATGGAAATCGTTATTAGGGGGAAGGTGTAAACAAAGTGTGCTATGCGATTTAATATTATCCTATTTAGAGTTTTTTGAAACGGTAATGAGCTTTAAAGAAAAAAAAAAAAAATTATAATTTTACGCAAAGAAGGTCTTGGTATCGTATTATAGTTACTATAAAAATTGAAACGCGTACCTATATATAACAGTGGATATTCGGACGGCTGTATCAGTATCGTATAGTTATCACAACGTGATAATGCAGAACGTGTTAATGTTGGGTTACAGAAGAACGACCGTTTAAACAAGAACAACAAAATCAATCCGTGAATTGACGCACTGCAAGCGTAGAGTATAGATAATACACAGTGTACTATCTAAGATACAACTGTATAGGATATTCAAACGCGTCATCATCGTGTAGTTATAATATATTCGTCGATCCGATGGCATTTTTTTCCCCGCAACTTTGATTTTCGTTTTATCGGCGTTCTATAAAAGAACGGAAACCCGATTAGAGGGCGAAAAATCCAAAGGAGTGATTAACTAATCTCACCAAATCAAACCAACTAACCTAACCAAACTCGTCTTCTTCCTTTTCACCTTTGTTCCTCGCAAGTGTAGGGTTATCCTGTTTTCTTATCGTTTTTTGTATAGAACAAAATTTCTGGTAGAAAAATTGTCATACTTGCATCATAGTAAAACTAATATATTCCTCGTTGCTCTGAAAATCTAAAATATGATCACGTACATCGTATTTTAACCGAGGTATGATTGAAAGTTTCAATTCTAGACTAGGTCTATACTCAGATGTCGGGTGGGCTAGGACACTCCGATACGTGTCAATAGACTTTGAATGGTTATGTTAAAAATATAAAAGATAACCAACTTTTGGTTACGTTGTCCGATCATTAGGAATGGACTATTATTATTGACCGTTACTTATTAGTTCGTCGATGTTTTCAGAGAGAAGAATCAAGAGAAAAGCGAAGCGGTGCACTTGAACGGTTTGGATTATTTCGATCCGTTTCTCGAGAGAAACTTGGAACACCCGACCACGTGAGTCCAAATTTATTTAATACGATGAACGATTTTACGCAAGAACGATAATCACGGTTTTTGTTTTCATCTTTCTGTTTCCCGTATAGCGATGGCGAAACTTTGACTCACTTGCTCAAAGCGTCTCTTGGCACCGGTATCTTGGCCATGCCGCAGGCTTTCCAGTGTTCGGGACTCATCGCTGGTGTATTCGCTACTGTGTTCGTGTCGGTCGTGTGCACGTTCTGTTCGTATTCACTGGTAAGTATTTTCATTGTGACACGTAATAATATCACGTGCGCATCATATTGTTTAATGTTATGCGTCGCCACACATAAATACCCATCTAATTACATACCGTCACCATGGTAAACGATGCTAAAAAATAAATATTTTGGGCATGTGACGAGAATAGTCGAGTCAGGGCGGCTCTATGAGTGTACATATAGAGATCGGGCGGAGATTTAGGATCAAGATCGCTGATCCCAAATATGTAGTCGAGAAAAGAATCGATGGGTAAAATAATAGAAATTAAGACTACTACCTACCGTTACCGCGTATCTGCAGTTTGCTTTTAACGAGATTTTAATATGAAGACTTTCGAGTACTTTAAATTCTCAATTTTATCGTTTTCTTTATTAACAGTGATACTGCAGTTGTTTTTGTTTATTTTTTTTTTGAACTACAAATGATTTTTGCATAGGTGAAATGTGCCCACACGTTATATAGGCGGAAAAAAGTGACAAAGATGAGCTACGCAGACGTGGCCGAAGTGGCGTTCGCCCAAGGACCCAATTGGTCGAAAAGATATTCGTCTCTGACTCGGCAAATGGTCCTCTGGCTGCTGTTCGTCACGTACTTCGGCACATGCAGCGTGTACACGGTGATTATCGCTAAAAACTTCCAACAAGTGATCTCGCACCACGTCCGGGACACTCCAGAAATGGACGTCCGTGTCTACATAGCTATGCTGCTCATACCACTCATACTGCTCAGCTACGTGCCCAACCTTAAGTACCTGGCGCCCGTGTCTATGGTAGCCAACGTCCTGATGGCCCTGGGTCTCGGTATCACGTTCTACTATTTGCTCCATGACATACCCAGTATCTCAGAAAGACCGGCAGTCGCGTCCGTGGACACGTTCCCTACATTTTTCTGTCTGACCGTGTTCGCAATGGAAGCTATCGGAGTGGTACGTATATACACTTGTGAAGTGATCACAAATTCCCAATGCGTATTCAATAGCCTTGTTTTAACGATTTTTATCTAGTTTTATTTAAAAAATGTCACAAATCCTAATTTGATATCTAAAATTTTTATTCCATGGATTTACAAAACAAAATCTATGGTCAAGATGAAATATATTTTGTTGCTCCCTATTTTCCCCGAGAAATATTTCTGTGGGCGGTCTTGTTACGTGGTTAATATCTTAAATGCATCACTCTATTCACGCGATTTTTGCGTTTAACAATTCCTCCAGGTATTAATTTTTGTGTACTTAATTTAATACTGAGGGGTAAAAAGAAACCATACAGTATCTCGTTTTAACTGCCTATTAGATGTTTGCTATTTCATGAAATATTACACACCAGGGCTGGATTTAGGTATGGGATAGCTTTTAGAGAGAATACAGAGTGTCTCATGATGACCTGACCCTTAAAATAACTTTTGTTCTATACAATAATTTTAATACATTTATAATATATATTTTTAAACTATTAGTATGCCTCTGCTCTACAGTTAATGTATTAAATATTATTTTACTTAGGTGTGAGACCTGTAAAATAAAAAAAAAATTAAAATTTTACTATAAAAATTTGAAATTGATTTTTAGAAAAATGTTGGTGTTAAAACTTTTGTTTAGGTTTAGTATTTTATTTTCTAAATTTTTTGAAGTTTTTAAAGAATATGTGAATATTATTGTGGTTTATGATTAATAACCACAGTCCGCTGACCATGATAATATTTTTGTACGATATTAATTCATAAACATGGAAATCCTTCTTATTTGATGTGTTCTGACTAATGAATAAATATAATAAAAGACTATAAACTACAATAATAATTACGTTTGCAAAATTTCAAAACAATTGTAGAATATAAAAGACTATACTTAGACAAAAGTTTCAATAACCAACAATTTTCTAAAAATCTTTTTTTGAGTTTTATTAAAAAAGTTCTGGTAAAATTTTAAATTGTTTATTTTAAGTTAGTTCATTAAAAAAAAAAAAAAATAATAATAAATTAAATGTAGTACAAAGGCATAGTAATTCTTTTAAAAAATATATTGAATAGAATATGTTTTTTTTTTTTTAGTATTTTTATTGTAAAATATACATAATATGATACATATTATTAAAATGTTTACAATAAAATAACTACCTCATTTAAGTGTAATGCTTGTAATGGAGGTTACATTACATAATAAGACAAAAAATACAAACTAAAAATAAAAATAATACAAACTTAATTAAGAACAAAAAGACAAAATATAATAAAAATTCATTAGTTATATTCAAAAATTTTTAACACACTTTACCATACTTTGTATTTATAATTTAATTTCTTTTTAAACCATTAGTGAAAATAACCATGCGTTAACTTGTTTATTTTATGCTCATAAATCTAAGATTCTCAATTGAGAAGAATATGAGTTTTTTTTATATGCAATGGTATTAAATTGTAATAATTTGGACTTAAATAAAATCAATACATTTTTTACCAAACATTTGAATAAATTACTTTATTACTGTATTGTACCTTACATACAAACTTGACTGGTAACACATTAGTCAGCTTAAACTTGTTTCTAGGTAGTTTTACGTAAACAGATTCTAACAACATTTTTTTAAAATATTTTTAGTGGTTTAACTGTGTATTCACTTAGACCCCTTCAGACTAACAAACCATACTGAAATATTGACTGGAATAAAGATAAATAAATTATACGCATTACTTGCACCGACAAAAAAGTCTGTAATTCGAAAAATACTAAATGATAAAGTACGCATGTGCATTACAATATTATTCACATGCAAATTAAATCTTAAATTTTTATCCTTTTTTATACTAATTTTTATACTAAAAATCGTATACTAGAGACTGTATATTTTTCGACTTATGCTGTCATTATATTTATCTTCACTGTTACAAAAACAGAATTTTAAATCATCATCATTTGTTCTCATCCTTATTAATTGAAAAATTCATAAAATTAATTTTTTTATAGTTTATTGAGAGTTTCCTATAGTTTAGATAATAAAATTGATCTAAAACTTTTTTAAATTCAATAGCAGTTTTTAAACGAACTTTATCCCACATAACTTTGGAAAACAATAGACATGTATCGTCAGTATAAGTAATGATTTGTCCGTTAATTTTTAAATCATATATGAAATTAATATATAATATGAACAATAACGAGCCCAAAACACTACCATACAGTACTCCATAATTAATATCCATTTCTTCGCCTGTAATGTTATTAATTTGCAATGATTGTTTCCTGTTATTTAAATAACTTTTAAACCATATTAAATTTCTATTTTATATACCAAAACTAGGTAAAATGTTTAAAGTTCAAGATAATTAACAGTGTCAACGGCTTAGATCTAAAAATATTGCCATTGATTTTTTGCTATTGCCAAACGCATCATATAAGTATTTACTGGTATTATACAGAGCATTTTCTGTACCCAACCCAGGTCTAAAACCAAATTGGTTTTTAAACAATAAACTGTTCTTTTCTAAAACCTCTACTAATCTAAACTTAATTATTTTCTCTAATATTTTTGGTAAATTGCTATTCATTGAAATCGGTCTATAATTAGTATTTACTGGTTGTATCCACATTTTTAAATAAAGATTTAATAATTGCAAGTTTAAGTTTATCTGAATATGTACATTCAGAAATACTTAAGTTATAAATATATGTTAAAGGTTCAATGATATTTGCATATATAGCCTTTAGAATTTGCATCAATACTCCATCAGAACCTGCCTGAAATTTTAAGTGTAATTTCATTGTGGGACACTGTATATTGCCCCAAATAAATAAACAGCTAGGATCAGGAAACCACATATTTTTTTTTTATAAATTAACATTTTATTTTTTGTACTTACTGCATATTTAAATCTGGTAATCTAGTAATATTCTATCATATATAATTGCATTGTACAAATGATATTATTTAAATATTTGTGTGTCATTTTGACATAGATTAATACAGTTAGTTTAATTAGTATAATTAACTCATTTATTACATAGAAAAAGATGTCCTAGGATAATGGAGACGAGTGCAGCCACTGTTATAGATAATTTAATGAATACCTGTAAGCAACGATAAACCATTGCTGACAAAAAAAAGATTTTAAGCGCAGTTCAGTTGATAGTGATGCTTTATCAATAATATATATGTCATATTATAGAAAAATAATTAAATAGGCTTTAAATATTTTTTTTTTAATAATATTGGTTTAATTTTATACCGATTCCCCCGGTTTTCCTACATTTTTCCAGTTTGATCATGTTTTATTCCAGTTTTTCACATTTACTGAGAAAAGTTGTGCATAGAAAAAAAAACAAATAGTAATACTTTTCGTACATTTTCTTGTTTTTTTTTCGGTTTTTCAAAGAAAATAGAAAAATAACCCCCCTAAAGTTCCTATCCACATTGATTTCCTTTCAGTAAAGGTGCTACAATTAGAAATCCGAGCAAGTCTTTTGGTAAAAAAGTTGTTAAAAAAAAATAAACTTCTTTATGAAACCTTTCATAGCCATGGCTATGGTACAGCTTCTTTTCTCCACTCAGAATCTATGAAGTTCCATTATATCATAATTTTAAATATGATTAAATTCAAATTAAATTAATATTCATATATTTGCCATTTAATAATTACAAAACTGTGGGGAGACCCTTTGGTTGTAACTCATTCAGTCTCTCCAAATCTAACCTTGTTTCTCATCAGTTAGAAAAAGATCTGTTGTGTATATAATATAAGCAAGTCTATTGAGTACTAAAGTCCGCACGTGTACATTGCAGGTGATGCCACTGGAAAACAACATGAAGACGCCAAAACACTTTTTGGGAGTTTTTGGGGTATTAAACATAGGCATGGGTGGCGTTACCATCATATACACGCTGCTTGGTTTCTTAGGCTACTTGAAATACGGTGATGAAACGAACGCTAGCATAACGCTCAACCTTCCCACCGGAGACATGTAAGTTTATTGTACCATTTAAAATCGAATAGTCCACACATACTTATGAGGTACTACCTAATAGTAGTAACTTAAATTTGTTATTGTCTAAATCATTTTCATTTACACTTTAATATTTTCATTATTTATTAAAGTTATAAATTATTTCGAACTTTTAGAAGAACTTGGAACACAACAAAACAAAAAAAAAAATAATGATTTGTTTTCACTAATTCCATATTTGTAGTATTGTTTACTTCAATAAAATAAATCTACTCGATAATAATAAATTATAGCAATGATAATTGACGTGTGTTTGTTGTGTTTCATCAGTGCTGCCCAGATGGCCAAAGTGTTCATCAGTCTTGCCGTGTTCTGCACATATGGATTACAGTTTTTTGTGTGCTTGGAAATCGCGTGGGCCAAAATCATGGAAAACTACGAAAAAGTTAATACTTTTCACAATTACATATTGAGGACTATCATGGTTACACTTTCTGGTGAGTATCAGTGCCATAAAATGCGAGTGTGTTGTGATAATTACAACTGTACATAAAATATATCGATTTTGTTTTGCTGTGTTTTGCAGTGGTGATCGCCATAGCTGTACCAACTATAAGTCCATTTATCGGGCTCATCGGCGCTTTCTGTTTTTCATTGCTCGGTATAATCATGCCAGTAGCTATCGAGTTTGCCACTTATTGGGACAATGTGACTGTGTGGATGACCATAAGAAACGTGGTTCTCATTGCTGTCGGCATTCTAGCATTGGTATTCGGCACGGCCAGCAGCGTCACGGAAATACTAGAAATGTATGGACCTGAAAAGGCCAAGACGATAATATCCAATGCCACTGCAGCCGCTCTATGATAAAACAGCTCCTCAAAACAGACTTATAGTGTCTCGCCAGGTGGCGATCACACTGAATACAGTATTCAAACAGTTATTATATTATTATTACTTTCGAAGAGAAATGTCTGTATATTTCTTTCGTGTATGAAAAGTAAAATGAATAAGCACTCGCACAGCGACATTATTTTTTTGTTTTTACTATTTTTTTCATAATGTAAGTTGTATTAAACAACAATAATAATACTATAATATTATTATTTTTGTATAATTTTATTTAACTGTATTTAATCATAAGGTTTTATAATATAAGTATTAAGTTATATTTTTAAATACAATAATTTTTATTTATATGTATGCGAATATAATACGATTATAATATAATGATTAATTCTTTTTATACATAATGATAGTAATAAAAATATATTTATGTCCTAAAAGACTAGATATTTTGTTTATATAGAAGGAAAAACAATCATATTTTTGTATAATAATATGAAATAATTAAAAATGTGCTCATTATAAAATTGATAAAAAATAAAAAAAAATATATGATTAACTAGTTTTGTGAGTAGTTTAACATCTTCAGACCTTTAATTCGAGTATCGATACCGTTTAGCGCCTCCAACATAGGAAAAAGTTCAGTCATCAGTCCGTTGGTGACGCTTACCAGATCTTCTTCCGTCACAATAAATCCGTCTATAAAATAATATCTCGCGAAGTTAATTACAATGCATTAATTATTGTATTTAAAAAGTTTATATATTTTTACCAGTGTGTTTTTCGATTAACAGATGACAATATACACTCAATATGCTAATGATATCGTCGTCTTCGGTGCCCGTCGATATAAGTTCACTGGGCCAATGACTCCTATACGACAGTAGTTATTCATTTTACATAATAATATTATTTTTTTTTAATTTTCAATACACAAACGGTATTGTTTACGACTTACTTGTTTTGTTTGGCGTATGTCAGAGCGTTCGGCCAGTCGGACTCTTGAAGTATTTGGACCAAACTTTCTTCAGGTGTTGGCGCCAACGGGTGCGTGCCGCTCTCCTCTTTGGCGCGTAAAAGGGCTCTTCTCACCGTGCTCACTTCAGCCGACAAGTTCTGAAGCTGTACCAAAATAACAAACGCGCAATATACGCGATAACGATATCAATTACTTGTACCAACAGACGTTTCGGACGACTTACTTTATTTCCCGCGGCTGAACTCGAAAGTGTTGCGTACATTTTAGCAGCGGCCTCCAGCAGCAATAACAGTTGCAAGTGCAGCTTGTACAGCGCTCGGCCGAGATCCAAAATCGATTCCTCGTTCAAGTAACCGCTGGTGCCACCACCGCCACTGCTTGTACTCGACCCTTCGATAATGCGCTCGCCGAGTTTGCACACTTTCAACGTGGTCCGTACGGTAAACAAACACTGAAATCAGAAACCGGCTATATAAAGTGTCCGGAATACAGTCGGAAGAGGGGGGCGGTCCGATATACGGTTAAGTCACATACCTCAGAAGTCTGATCCTTTCGGTCCAACAAGGTGTCCACGTGTTCCCGTATCTGGAGCATGGGGAATCGCAGGGCGCCGTCTAGCTTGAGCGCTGCCGGCGAGAACCACACGAGCGGCGGGTCGGCGTGCGTGGTCAGCACTATGATGGCCGAGTTTAGGTGTGTAAGTATCTGCCTGCAGTTGGCGTGGTTCTGGGCACAACATCCGGTGGTGGCCGGGTCCTCTTCCACGTACTCGTTGAGCGTAATGCAAGCCTCCCGGGTCAGCCACACGCACTTTCGGATGATGTCCTGCGACGAAGACCGGTTTCTAATAATATTATCGCCCCCTGTGATAATGTGAGTCAAACGCATACCTTAACCACCCTGTGCAGTATGTGGAACATGTGCAGCGTGTTCGTGGGTGTCTGGTCCAACAGCGATCGCACGGTAGCCCTCCAGCATTCTTCGGTGTCGTCGCGCCGGAACGACATAAGTGCGTTCAAGTTTGGCGAAGCGTTGCACGGAGTTAGGTCGCCCAGATCGCCGATACTCGACCCGCTGCAAAAAAACGATATCGTATCGAAACCGAGAATAGACTAAAATAGACTAATCTTAATGAACATTGGTGCATTGTTTAGGGAGATATAGAAGCCGAAAAGAAAAGTACCCGACACTATCGCGGGATAATGAAAAAGTATCAGAAATTCCATAGCTGAATCTGTTATCAGATTTTTACCGGTAAAAAAACACCCGTGACCAGCAGAACTCCGTCACTAGAATCGAATTCTCCCTCCCCCTCTCTATTTTGTATTATAATGGTTTTTACAAAACAATAAATAACCAAATACTATTATAATACAACACTATTACGTTGATTTTATAATAGAAAGTAATAATATTCGAAAATCAATGACTATACCTACTATAATATTACACTATTATTATAATGCTTTCGTTAAAAAATGAAGAAACATGGTCGTAATGGTGGGGATGGGAGTTGAAAGTTTAAATCCCGAAACGGCACATCCTCGATATACCAACATCACGACTACATAAAATGTTATTACCCTAGCTTAATTGAGGAGAGGGTTTGAAGGTGTGTACAAAGCTAAAAAAAAAAAAAACACCAGTCTCCCGCAATAGTATGTTTATGATTTTATACTGGAATTAAACATAGCTCTTATAACTCCAATTACCTATAAAACAACTACAATTTCCGGGTTTGAGCTCTTTCGGTTTAAAGTGAGCCGTTGTGAATGTACAAAAGTAGCGGGAAAATGGTATGCATATAACTGACACAATACAATGTAATACCCAGTGGCGTAGCCTGCAGCGGACAGGCCTGGTAGGCTCGGGCCTACCCACTTTTCTTCAAAAATTAACACAACTTTAAAATAAAAAAAAATTAGTAGTCTTTCTCACATTCAAATATTTATATTATTTATCCCGCCTAGACAAATATGTCTAGCTACGTCTCTGATAACAACTTCTATTTTCACATAGATAATTCAACAAAAACTATGGGAGAAATTCGATCGAAAACCCATTTATAGGATAAGGATTTTTTTGTTTTTTTTAAAAAGTACGCATGTTCAACTCACGATGTATCGGAACGCGTAATCGAATCGGTCCGGTCTCGGTGTCCGTCGGTGTTAGGCATCATTTGCGTGTTACACGCCGCTATCTCGTCCAATGGCGACACGGAGCCCAACTCGTCGTCCGACGATTCGTCGTTGGCCTTCTTGACGTTCAACATGGGAGTCTGTTCGCTGATGCTCTCTTCAATCTGAGACACTGCCGTAACGCTACTGACGGCACCTTGGATGGCCATGTCGTTTCCACCCAACGGCAACCTCCGGACGCCCCAATTGAAATTGTCCGTACTCTCACCCTAGAAAAAATAAATAAAAAAAACTGGTGTATTTCTCTTATTTCTTGTACCCGAAAAATTGTGGGGAACTTGTCACGGATTTGTGAAAAAAATTCGATTAATATTATTTGATTCGAGGTCGTCTGATTTCACAAGTTTCCCTCCCCCTCCATTAATCGTTTGAAGATTACATTTTGTTGAAAATTATAAATAGGCTAATAAAAACCCGGACGAATGTTAATTATTTTGTATAGTTAAAAATTAAAAAAATTGTTTAATTAAAATTCAGCAAAAACTAAATGAGCATCGCTCAGAAACGTGTATCGTTTTCAATTACATTCAAGATTTCAAACACAATTATACTATATATCTATAAAACATCGCTTAGCCTATCTCGCGAACAGTATCAGTTAATTTAGTATGATAAATGTTAAGGATTTAAATCGTTTTAAAATACGGTGCTCACTTCGACGCTTTCGCTTTCGTATTCGAGAAAATCGAAGTCCTTGAAAACCGTCCCGAAGTGATCGGTATTGTCTTCGCGTTCCTTTCTCGAATCGCTGGGTATGGACACGTCCGGAGCCGACACTTCTTCGGTGCTGCTGGCCATGCTCGAATGTCGTTCCAACAGCTCGGAGCTTTGGCTAAATATCACCTGACGGATAAAAAGAAATTGATGTAGACGCGATACAATAGTAAACGAGCGGCGCGAAACCGCGGTAATGGTATTTTGAGTATACAATATAAATGCAGAGCAGCAACAGGTATACCGTAAACGACAACAAAATTTCGTGTACACAAAAGGCAAATAAGCAACAAGTGACAATATTCAACACTAAATAGTTACAACTGTGCTAAACCCTCGGCGGATAAACACCCGAAATAAGGTTGTTATTCTATTTGAAAAAAAAAAAAAATAATTAACTTTAATATTTACCACGCCCTCCGTATATATAAAATATTATAAAGCACAGTGCCGTGTTAACACTATACAAAGTTATTGAGTAACCGCCGGGCGTCGTTAATTTTGCGCGTACGGTCCAATATTTATCCTAGTAAAACATACGCAATTTGGGTGAGAAATTATTGTATACAAAATCTTTAATAGTTATCAACTATCGTTAATGTCATAGCGGTGGTATGAAATACTCAGTGGCGCCGAACCGCGTTTTAAGAAGGTTGGCAGGTAAAAAGTTGTATAGACCACCATCCTCGTTTACAAAACCCATAAAATACTCTTAATTAATAGTCGACACATGCCGTTTGATAAAAAGTACGGCTCAAGTACCTATCAAGGATCCACCACCGCCCACCCATTAAAAGAAGGGTGGCAATCGCCATTCTTGACTGCTAATTTCGACGCCACTGGAAATACCAAATTAATAAAATAGTATTGAAAACGCATGGTTAATCATAAATAGGGCACTGGGCAAAGGACTTGTAGCTCTAAAAAAAAACACTAAATATATGCTTATATATTTAAGCACTTATGCACTGAAAATATGCTCTATATTTTTTTTTTTTTAACTCTTTAATTAAAAGCAATACATAAAATATTTTTTACAATTTCGTTAATACAATTTAATTTTAAATAGTAATTTTTTATCGAATTAATTAGTTAGTTAATTTCATTAATACGTGTATTATAATTTATATTGATTGTAGATTAATATTGTTTTTATTTTGTTATGTAAATCTATCAAGGTAGTGACAAGAATTCGTTATCTGGGTATTATCTTTGATAATCATTTAGATGGGAATTAAATAATAATTTAGTTGGTAAATTACGATCTATAACTTATAAATTTATATGACTAAAAAATTTGATTCGTAAACAGACAATGCGTAAAGTTTACTTTTGCTCCATATCAATCAATTTTTCAATATGGATTATTAGTATGGGGTGGTTTGGGTGTCAGTTCACTAAATAAGCTTCAAACTAATCAAAATAACATTGTTGGAATCTGCCTAAATAAACGTACTCGAGTAGGTTCAACAAATAAAAATAGTAGTAATCTGAGTGTACTGCTAATTAAATCCATTTACAAAAAAGTTGTTATTATATTTGTATTTAATCGTTTTATTAAAGGCAGTTACAGTAATTAATTTGATAATAAAAGAGAAACCATAGCGTATAATATTCCTGTTGAATATATAATTTTTCGGTCAATCTTTTGTGGATTATCTAGACTTTATGTGTTTTAACTCAATGCATATTCAATATAAAAAAAAACACCCACCTTACCTACGCCAAGTAATGCTAAAAAGATCTTATATAAATGGTTATTTTTAGATTTGAGCTAAATCTCTTTGTTCTTTT